CCGGCTTTCCAAACGTGGAAAGCCGAGAGGTTTTCTGCCAGAGAGGTTAGCCGATTTAATGGCTGTACGGCAGGTTTGAGTCCAATATACCGAAATGGTCTCTGAGGCTTGGTTGTCTTCTACGTGCCTTGGTTGTTTTCAGAGCTGCTTTTAATTTACAGGGCTTTTTCGCCCCGTGGCAGTCCGGTCTGCGCGGGTTTCTTACATTTGGGGTACGTAGTTTTCCCCTTCATGAGGGAAAATTTCGACCACTGTTACTTGTACCTCGTTCAATGCCACCTTTTGGACGATTAGATTAGCTGTTTTTCGAGGATTTATGGCAAAGATGCGTCTGCTTTTCGACATTTTGGCGTGATTTAATCGATAAGGTGTCTTAGTTAGGCCCTGTGCATTAGGTGGCAGCACGAAGAAGCATTTATTTTGGCGGTGCTCCCCTGAGGTTTCTTTTCGCAGGGGAGTGCGCCGTTAAGCTAGCCAACGTCTTTCGGATTTGGCAAAGTTTATACGGTTTGTTTGATTGCAGTCGCCTTTCCTTCATGTTTGTGTGGACTTCCCAGTCACTCGCGATCAGTGCGACCAACCGGGGGTACAAAGGATTTTCCGGTTCTTTGTTGTCGTGTTTGTAGCTTTGGCTGTCGGAGTAATGGATGACAACTGTGTCCACAGTCAGAGAGGCCACGTTTGACGGAGTGGAGCTGGAGAGTGGTAGTTTTACAGTAGGAGAGACAAACACTTCCTGAATGGGTATTGACGAGCGAGCTTGATGTCGGTGACCAAAAGGTGAGAGGTAGATCGGAGAAGGGACTGCTGCCAGCTGCGCATCGAGACTAACGCCTTGCAAACACTGGCACGCATTTTGCCCAAGTGACCTTGCCTTATGAAGTTGTCACTGGTGCTCGAAATTTGGTTGAGGGTAGTTGATGGATGCCATCATAGGCTTAAGTAAAGCGTTCAATATAGCGCCTTCCAGGAAGGTGACTCCCCGCAGTCTAACAGCCTCCTTGAAAGAGGTGGCAGATACTCCACTGTGTCAACACACCCCTATGTCGGAGAAATATGTCACTCATACTCTATAGGTTTCGCTCGCTTGGCCACGTGCTCTGTGTGCCAGTCGACCGACCTCTTTGAAAAGCTCTTTTCGCACAACCACGTGTAATATGGAAATGAACCAGGGGAAGGCAAACAGTGGCTTGGCAGCGAAGCATGAAAGCCATTACCAGCAAATTCAGTTACGCTGGTCGTTTCCGTCACCATAAGTGGAGACCTCGAGTCGGAACACATCAATGGTCAGAGAGAGCGCAGTGGCACCGTCAAGGTGAAAGGCACTGTGGTAGAAGGGTACCTTGCTGTCACCCCCTGATTCTGAACGGTATACTGAGGAATGCGCCAAGGGGAGTTGGAACTGAATAGACGGAACCGAAAATCACTTGGTGAATCAACTACGTGTGCTTAGACTTGCGCACTCGAATGATTGTGCCAGAAACAGAAAACGAGGAAAACGAGGAAACAAACGCAGACATACTGCGGGTTGCAGTTAACAGGTTCCACCTCTCCCACTAACGGATCGTGTTTAAAAGAACGTGTCATCCTTTTTAACAGAACGGGGCGTGGAGTCGATAACCAGGTCGGAAGAGAGGTGCCGTACGTTGACTTCCGGTGGAAGTTAAGAAATCTTTCGTGTGGTTTTGTGTTAGTAACGGTGCACAATAAGGAGCGAACAGAGTGCAAATCATCTAGAAGCACGCATTCCCACTCAGTAATGTCCCGTTGTTAAGCCGTTCGACTCGTCCGTTAACTCAAGCTAAACTGCAACGCCAAGGAAGCAGCTTTTGGTTGGGGTGTGGTCGACTGTCCATGTTTTTCAATTTCGGTCTTCTGTGGCCTTGCAGTTGATCAGCGGCCTATGTGGCGTTCCCCTCGGAGTATGCTCCGACACCATGCACTCTACATAGCCTAGCCAGTGTAACTTGTCGTGGACCAAAATTCTGTAAAAGAAAGGCACCTAACTGCTAATAATTTAGGCGTCAAACTCTACAAACATTATATCGATGAAGTCTTACTTTTCAGTGCTAGAGAACACAAGTCTGTTCTCTTCATCTTGATGATACTCATCTCAGTTTTTCTTACGGGGGAGAATCGAACGACAGTTTGGCTTTCCCGGACGTTTTGCTCAAAAAACTTTCGGGCGACATATTGGCCCGTCTTATCCACTGCAAAAAAGCATAGAATTGTCAGGACAGTATATATCACTGGCATATTACTCTCAACGGTTATGGCTGTCGACTAAATCTGTCGAAGTTTTTGTGCTGGCTCGGCTGGTATGTTCATCTACGAGGCCCACCGTTTTGTCTTGGGGTAAGCGTTATATCCAAAATCTAGAAACTATCCCCAACTCTGTCTGCGGTGAACCACAAGGCCCATGGCTGGCATAAATCGTCTTAGGAGCCCACTTGTGTGTGTGTGTGTGTGTGTGTGTGATGCGTGATGAGTGTGTGTGTGTGTGTGTGTGTGTGTGTGTGTGTGTGTGTGTGTGTGTGTGTGTGTGTGTGTGTGTGTGTGTGTGTGTGTGTGTGAATAATGCGTGATGAAGATCAAATCAGTGAAGTATTTATAGAAAGCCGATTGTGAAATAACTCAAGCTAATTGACGTCAGAACTTAGTTAAAACTGGTCAAAACAGGGTCCACCATCCCAACTTCATCCGTCGTTTGTTTTTTGGATTTTCAGCGAAACTAACCCTTGCTTTTCCGAGGGGTTTAACTGAGAAAGCCAATGAAGCGCCCCCACGAATTGGCTGCAGTTTTCGATACAAACAGTTCCCAGTACTTGCCTCCATCCGCTCTTTCCCTTTCCCATCCGACAACTACGAAGCGGATTCGAACAGACCGACTGCACCCGAACACCATTCACTTCTTCCGATCTGCGCAAATGAGCATTTACGAACGAATCTTCAAGTCACCTGGTCGGCAATCCACAACTGATGCGAATGCATTACCCAAGGGCCGGGCTTGTGGTGGAGGCACCGAGAATGTAAGTTGCATGGTTCGTAGTGAGGAGTAAATCTCCCAGCAAACCATGGACATCGTGGTTGCAGGAAGCCATTGTGAGACCCGTTGTTGTTTGGCAAAACATCTAGTAAAATGACTATATATTGAGTTTAGACCCAATTAACGACTGATATTTTGTACTTTTTGATTGGGGATTCCTGCGTCTGGGTTGGATAATCAATTCGTATGCTGGCCTGTGGTTCGAACTTGACCTCTGCCTCTCGGCTTCCCCTGTCTAGGCTTGGGCAACCTGACAGTATGCCAGCCCTCGTGTTTCCTTCAGCTTACATATTAGCTATGCACCGAAAGAGTATTACAGCTGAACGCTTATTACTTCATTATTATTTTTAACACTTGTGTTTACGGATGAATGCTGCTCAGACTGAAGCACCCTAGTCCGTGGTTCTGTGTGGAGACAAACCACTTCGATGGGTCTATCAACCCTAGTCTCTTCTGATAGCTGGTCTCTCGTGAGAACGGGGACAATTATGGGATCTGCCGTATTCTCTTGTTTACTTGCAGAGCAAATTCAGTCATAATTCCAGGACTTCTATAGAAACTGACAACTGCACCAAAATTTAGTTTTCCTCTTGGCTGTTTGCCCGCCTGTGTTTCTGCGTCCGAGATACTTTGTTTAAACCCCTGTTAATAGTGAGAATTTCATTAAACTCGTCAACATTTCCTTTTGTAAAAATGCCACAGTTGTGGACGGGTCTGTGACCTTCCTTGATCCGGATTAGTCGATGTTTCAATTGGCTCGGGAAATGTTCTAGTTCAAAAAATCGTTCAGCTATAGCACCCTTTAAGTGCCTAGCTTCCATACCACCCGAGGAAGGCATTGGTGCTGGGATACTGCCAGGCTGCCCAAGCCTATACAAGATAAGTCGAGATTCTTAGGTTGCATTCGAACCATGGACCTTCTGGTCAGTAAATTCACGCTCTAACCACTGAGCCGTCTCGCCCCCCATTGTGCTAGTCACGATATCAGAGCAGTGTTATCGCTTTTGGGAGGGAATGGGGTTGGTGGCTGAGTGACGGTGGCGTTCAGTTCAGTTCAATTCAGTAAGAATATCTAGCTTATAGAGAAGCTAAAAACAATATATCCCGGTTACCAGCTATGTGCTCTGCGATCGAATCGACACTGTTTCACGATCAGAGGTTCTAGTTGTTCACGCGCCATTCTGTTGACACTTGTCCCCCTACCTTTCTTTCCCATACCCACAGGATACGTTCCTTCGACCTGTGGGAATACCACGCCGCCCAGTTTCTCTTACACTGGGTTCAGAAGGTAACATTCTCAACGAACTGGCTGTCGTCAAACAACAATCAGTCAGCACAGAGAATTTAGCGTGGCCACCGCGGTCGACTGGTGGGAATGTAGCACAACCTGTGCTCAGCTCGACTCCGTCAGCCAAGCTTCTGACTACTCCAAACAGAAGTATTCCCAAGACCCAGGACGCCACTCCCATAGAACGCCAGTTGTACAGACGCCTACTAACCCAAGCTGCTCTATCCACCCCGCCCGTGAATCGAAAACATTGGGATGAAGGACGATCGAAAGCAACCAATGAACTGACCATTGTGATTGATGACAACGAGCCTACCTCTGGGGGTCAGGCATCTGTCATAACGCGGTAAGTTTATTCTGAAATGTCTACGTCCAAGAAAATTGTTTCCGCTTTGTTTTTATAAGCACAACTTTGAGAATTTCACTTCTAGAAAGTCGAAACTTTGCGGGTTCCTCCAACTAAGGACCTGCCTTCCGTAACGACCATTTGATTATCGCGGTTTCCAGACTGACGCTATGGTGCTGTATCAGCCGACGAATGTGTGTGTGTCCCACGACAGTGAAGCATCTGTCAAGAATGATGATAGCGTATGTTCATTTCGAATGACTGTTGTGTCGAAAATCAAAGACCAGATTAGGCTGACATCAATTCGGTGTTCGTAACCAAACATGTTCAACAAGGGATGCCCCAAAAGTTTGTGAACCTCTAATCCGGTCTGTTTGTTAGCGTACATCTGGACACGTGAGTGTGTGGTGTATGTATGTAAGAACCTCCCTACAAAAAGTGGTGTCCGACAAAGATGCCAACTCTTTCCAATCTTGTTCAACTTCCTCGCTGATGAACTATTGAGGCGAACGCTGGAAGGTCTTCATAATCCAGGTGTTCAAACTTTTTTGTTGGTGAGAACCTTGTCTATCTCAAGACGCAGATGACATCTCACTCATCTTTGAAGACGAAGGCGCACCACAGACCCTATTGAATAAAATGACCACTCATGCCATCCACGTTACGCTTTTCCAGTGGCTTTACCAAACTACTTGTTTGAACCAGTAGTTTGCTCGGGTTTGGCCTGCGAGTTGGCTGGACGCGGAGCCCCAGTCGGTTGTGATTAGGGGGAGAAAATAATTTTGCGTGGTAGTGTATTGTTTCGGCAAATGTTCCGAACCAACTGGGGACAGATTTCGTCGATGGCGAACACGAATAGCCCGAAATCAGCAGCTACCAAGGTGTCGAAGTATGTTCAAGAAAACATAAACACCAAAAGATCGAGAAGGCTCATTGGTTAGAGCGCAAAGTTCCATGGTTAGGACCCAACCTCAGCATCTCGACTGCTGCCGTCTGGGCGATTTTGCGGTATCTCAGCTCTGGTTCTTCCGTGTGGCCTGGCAGCTAGGCATCGAAACGGTGGTACAATCGATCGTGTATTTATTCTTTTACCTTGCGTCATAGTTTTTCGTGCCGATTGTTATCACATGCTTCGTTTCGTTGATTTGTACTTTTGTGTATGTGTTGGTGTTGTATATTCATATATGTATGTATAATGTGTGTATAAATATCCTTCTACTTCGTTCACCAGACGCGCCATATCCCCGATCCGATTTCCGCACGAACATGCCAATTCCAGCTCGTCAGCCAATGAAGGTCAGTGTTCATTTGATTCAATCGTACCGTACCAGCCTTCTTTTTCGATTGTTTCTTGAGTTTTCACACCGTAGTATTTCGCCAGAGCGAGTGAGGATTTTTTATTTGAGTAAAGTATGCACTCTGGTCTTTTTTCACTGTGCACAGAATGTTGGCCGGCCTTTCGACCATTCGTGCATTCTCGTCGTCATTACAACAGCAACACGCGTTTGTGACCAGTTGGCGGGTGCACCTTTGACCTGGATAGCGATAGTTGTGTGGAGTTGAGTGAGCCAGTTGGTCAATGGGGTTATAGAGCCCGAAGCTAGTTGGGAGAAGAGTCAGGCAGCTCACAGATACGAAATCACCTTTGATTGTGACATGCCGTTACGTAGGAAAATGTCTCCAACTGTCGATGAGGATTTTCGCCGTGCATTTGATTGGTCGGCGACATGTATCAGCCCTGTGATGTGGTATACGAGGTTTTTACGGTTAGGAAGCTTGCCATAGGCTGACCACCAACCTACCCACTCCAGTCTGGTTGCAGGCAATGCCACTCTCTCGATATTCAGTGAACATGGCCTAACGAACTAAATATGTACATTTTCATTAAACAACCTATTGAGTACGCATTCAGCTGCCTAATGCCCGTCAATCAGTTTGACAGTAGGTATTTGGGTGATGTACCGGTTTTCGAAAACCGAGACTATCTTCACTTTTTGGAGAAACCATTTTTACCAGTTGCAAAGAAAGACTAATTGCACACAGACTATATACACCTCATCTTTGATCGAAAGCCTTTCGAAGTTCTAGAAGTCGGCGTGCATCACAAAGTGGAGTGCTTTTCTAACCCTTACAACGACTACTTTTCGGCATTTTTGCGAGCGGTTTGTCGTTATTTCAAGGTTTGTTACTTGTAGAGATCGCATTCTTATTGGATGTGTAAGGTGGCACCTTGTGTGAACAGCCTCGTTTAGCGAGATAAAGTGCCGACCCGCTGTTAGACTTTGTGAACTGTGTGCAGCTGTCTGATTGTAAAAAAACGTGGGACACCGTAGGTCTCTTCATGTGGTGTTCTTGTGGGCACCCGATATAAGGTCGCAAACTGTACCGAACTAGACACGGGGCGTCTACGCCGAAATACCATACTGTTCGGAGCCACATTTGCAGGTCAGCTTAACGTGTGTGCGTGTAGGCTCAATACAGTCCCTCGTACCATGTTGATATTTCCCAAATGAATGTGCTGCGACAGTTGGAAAATCGTACCAACTGAAACATGAGGCAGCCTTTGTGCAGCACATTCATCCCGTAAAAAACGAATTGAGTGTATTTGTCGCAATCATTCCAAATTTGGTTCAAGTAGAGTACAAGGCTGACGCACAATCGGGGACTGCGCCTACCTGATGAGCCCCAAGAAGGGCGAAACCGGTCGTCGGCTGCCAAAGAGCTTTCAACAGCCTTGTGCGTAATTTCCTTTGGTCAGATTGTCCTGAAAATGACATAATATTGTGCGCCTCGAATCTCTGATGCTCGTGAGAGTTACAGAAGTGGCTGACCAAGAGGCCCGCGCATGGTTAAAATCGTGCGAACAGACGCCCTATTTATCCGAGGTTTGGCTGGCAAATCTCACCACCAGCTATCAGTCTAAAGCAAAGCAGCGGGAGCGAGAGCGTCAGTTAGCCGAGGCGAAACTGCAACACTGGGAGAAACAGGTTAGTAGAGAAACCAACTAGTCGTTCATTCGAATGGTCATAGTCTTTGTGCGTTGTAGACCGTTTTGCGTGAATTGAACTGATATTACCCCTCGTATCGCTCACGGATAGCACGCCGTACATAGCTGGTAATGTATGTACTAGTCTGCTGTTTATTGTTGCAAGGTATTCAGATGCTACATACATTCCGTACAATCGGAATGCACGTCTATTTCAGACAACCTGTATTATTGTTGGGAGCTGGTCTTCATTTGATTTTGAGGCCCCTTATGGTAAGGACCGACTGCGTCCCTCTGTTTAGTATGTATGAATTTCGTCCTTTTGATCAGCATTGAGTTAATGAATCCGTTTTCCTGAGTTGTAATGAGCTCAACGCCCCCCATTTGATGGCCTTTGCATCTGCAATATGTCTATTGGTTATCCGCATAAAATTTCATCTTCCCAGAGAGTTGCCGATCACAAGCGCAGGATGGACAATCTGGAACAACGTTTGGCATGTCTCTTGCTAACGCCGCCCGTGCTATCTGACCCCTACTTGGTCCCACAGCCCATTCCTATTGAACTGCCCTACAAACCCAGAAGAATCGTCCCCGTGCTTCCTGCCTTGCCCGGTACGTCACAAAAGCCTTCATAGTATTTGCGAGTCTCTTGGTGACCTATTCCACAAACCCTCATTAGTTGATTTCATCTTGCTTCACAGAACTCACAGAATCCCAACTGGCCGAGGTCGATACTGCCCTACGCGGAGAAGGCCCGGATGTAGTTCTGGTGGAAAACTTTCGGCTTTCAGTAACGAGGCGTGAACTGAGAACCTTATCCGGGACGAATTGGCTAAGCGATATGGTAAGCGCCCGATTCTCTTGCGCTCTGGCTTTGGTATATGTACACTACTTTTAAGTTTCCAGTAGCTTAAAACCTCGCTTGTTTGCAATCGTGTGGCTCGCCCGATTCATTACTGTTGCCGATATTCTGGTTGAATAGGTCACTTCACCGTTCAATATATATGAACGATTGCCAGGAGTGTAGGTTTGAATGGGAGTCCAACGTATCTGACAGACTGGTGTTTTGCGTCTGACATCCAGAGTCCTGTCTGCCGTTTGTCTTCTTAGTGCGCAATGATAAGGTCAGTCAGTGTGGGGGTAAGCCTCATCAAGTATCACACCAGCATCGAATTTTTGTTAAACCCATGGAACTTGAACTCACCCGACTCGACTGTAGCGGGCACACAGTGTAACTTTGTGGCGAAAACTCAATTCCGTAAAAAAAGTTGTTCCTCCACAAAAATGATATAACAGTGGCTGTTGCGTTCGATCGACACTTTCTTACGTTATAATTGTCTGGTCTTGATGGATAAAGCTCGCATACTGCTGTCATGGAAGTGTTGGTTTATGGATGTTCGTTAACGTTTTTGTTCAGTTTCGTGTGAGTGTGATGCATACGCTAACTGTAGAAATAAACCATCAAAAGAAGCAACTCGTCCCTGAGTGGTGAGCAATATGGGATGCTCGGCTACACTGCTTCGTTGTGCGTCTGTTCACCAGGCTAAATGGCTCAGTGGTTAGAGCGCGAATTTACTAACCGCATGGTATGTGGTTCGAACCCGGCCTCTGCATCTCGACTTAATCCTATGTAGGAATAGCCAAACTGGCAGTATCGCAGCCCTCATGCTTCCTTCGCGTGGAATGGCAGCTAGGCACCGTTACAGCCGAACATCTTTTTTTCGCCGAGCTTGGCAGTTGGATCGCTAACGTCTCATTACCACTCTGGGTGACATCGTCAGTGTGGTGCGATCCAACTGCCGAGCTCGGTGAACAGACTAACAGCCATGTATGCTAGATGCCGGAAAACCATCTACCCCACACAGCCCTTTTGGCTGAGCTATCCGGAGGGCGGAATGAATTAAGTGCTGTGATGTGTGAAATCCGCAACCAGTAGATTCAGTCTCATTGTCAGCTGTCTTTACCATGGATGGAAATCCCCGTGCCAGTGGTTTGTGACACGAGGAAAAACATTGCCAGTTCATGCCATCAGTGGCACTCTTTCATCAGTCCATAGTTACTTAACTGGCCGCCTGGTAGATGTATTACAGCGGCGAATACCAATGGAAGCAAGCAAAGAGATAACTCCAGAGTGAATGACATTGTGGACCAGACTTAACCTGACAACCATTCATGAACCATCTACCTGCAACACCTATGTCCCTTTGTTTTTCGAGAGAGAAACGTTGTGAGTGAGAAGCTCATTCGTCAAGACTCTCAAAAAGCCTTTGATGAACTGACAAAAAGCAGTCACCTGGAGAAGGGTGGTCGCTTTAGACGGAAGCACTGTAGACAGGTGTAAGAACTCAGCCTCAACCAATTGTTGGGTGGTATCATCTAATGATACTTGTTCTTGTCCGCCCATATTATCGCTAGACCGGAGTGTACCAGTCACGTCTATGCAACCTATTCCTTGTACATGACTTTCGACCGAATGATCAAGTTCCACTGACTTGTTTTATAAATTTACCAGTGACTTTTCCTCCGAGCCGTCTTACACTGTTCTCTTTCTCCCAACTTCCCGAACAGGTAATCAACTTTTACATGCAGCTTTTATACAACCGGAGCCAGCAGTCACCAAGCGCTCCAAACGGCTTCGATGTGTTATCGAAGCTTCCTCGGATCGCTGTCATGTCCACTTTTTTCTATCCGAAGCTGACCGCTCCGACTGGCGGGGGTTACTCCAGTGTACGACGCTGGTCCAGACAACTCAAACTATGTGACCAAGATCTGGTGCTCATCCCGATTCACGATCGAGGGATGCATTGGTGTTTGGCGGTGAGTTAAAAAGACTTTCGGGACTTTTGTTCCAACTTGGATGGTGTCCAAATGCTACTTGGGTTGTTGAGTTGAGAGAGTGGATAGAGTAGCAGTCTCACTGAGATGACTTGCCCAGAGTTTTCACTCTATGTGGTTGTGAACTGTATGAATATCCTCTCGTGTGTACTTCACCTAGTCTCCTCTGATGGTTCTCTGGAGGTCGTAGACGGCAGCTCTCTAACAGACCGCCAGAACTAGTCAGCGTTGTCAAAGTGCAACAAAGAAACTCGGTACGCTCTATATCCTTGTTCTCTCTGTCTCCTCTGATGGTTCTCTGGAGGTCGTAGACGGCAGCTCTCTAACAGACCGCCAGAACTAGTCAGCGTTGTCAAAGTGCAACAAAGAAACTCGGTACGCTCTATGTCCTCTGTTCTCTCTGAACTAGGCGTGACTTACCAAACAGGAGTAACAGCAAATAGACTCAAAAGTTGATCCCCAGCCACTCAGTCTTCTGTGTTTACGTCCAGATTGTTGCTGTTGTACTTCCCGTGGTGTAATTCACGTTCCAAAACGCCGTACCTGGTTTTGGCCCCCTGTTCCGTACCAGGAGATATTGGGAACCATCGCTTAATGCTAACTACCAATTAGCGACAAAAAAAGTTGAACTGCCCCATTATTAACGCGTCTTTTGTCTGTTTACCAGAGCTGTAAAAAGTCTTTCCTATTAAACCCATTTCTAAATTAGTCGGGAATTCCCTCCCCATTTTTTGACTGCGGGCTTATCGATAGTCTTCCTCAGCAGTTCACTACCTTGTTGTTCGATGTTACAACCGTCAGCTGATTAGTTGCCTGCCACCGGCCTTTTCTGATCGCAATGTACCTCTCTTGTTGAAGGTGCTTCATTCTGGAGCTCGAGGTAGCTCACTGACTAGAACGCGAAATTACTGACCGAAAGGTTCGTGGTTCGACACCTACCCCGGCATCTCAACTGCTCCTTTCTAGGCTTGGATAACCTGGTAGTACCTCTGAAAGGAAGAAAGCCTTCGCTGCGTAGTTATTTATTAGAAAATGCCAACTGACCAGTTACAGACTATTGGACAGGGAGGCAAAACTCTCATATGCATTTTGTTTACAAAAACTGAATATCCATCTTCTCTTTGAACGCGTGTTTCTGAAGTTTCCCGGACTGTTGCTCGAATCTAAGCAAATGCTACAAAGCGACTCCACAAATTCCACAATAGATCTCGCTTTTCAAGAGACGCAAAGCAAATTTACAAGGAGAAAACATACTGCTCGCATGCCTCCCCATCAGTAGTATCCCCGTCACACCTCAACCCTCGTGCTTCCTTCGAATGGCACCGAAGAACGACCACCTATACTAACATCACGAGCGTTAGAAATATTCAGGCTGCATTTAACCACACTATACCTTATTCCTGTTTTTTTTTGTAGTGTGTCGATTTTCGGAGGAAAACTCTGACCTATTACGATTCCATGGGTTCGAAGAACGATAATTGCCTCCGGACGCTAATGTGAGTTGCGTTTTTTCATTAGTGGCGTTTTCTTTCCAAAACTGGTTGCATCTTTTTGTTGCGCCGCCTTACTTTGGTTACTCTGACAATGGAGCGAACAACATGTGGTTTTTATGTACCTAGTGAACGATGCCTATCCAGATTATTTTCTCACGAGCGTATGTTTTGCTCTTGATCTTTACCCGGTGTCCAATATCGAAAATTCCCGACTGGCGCGTATTTTTGCGGCTTACTAGGGCTTCGAAATTGGCTGCAATGGTATCAGAGATCGAGCGTCTAGGTTCGAAATAGCGCGAGGCTGTCTTGTGGAACTAGGTTGACAAACTGCGGTGGAAATTTTGTTGTTGGTCTGTTGGGCAAGCGTGGCAGTTGGATTGCAAACGTTTCATCATCAACGAGGGGTTGAGTGGGCAAGTTTCTCCCATTCTGTCTGTGCTTATAAACTCTAAAACGATTGGTTGCTTCGCAGGTGATTTGGTTGGTCAGCTTGGAATCTGGGTTGCATCGTGATCTGATTTCGTCGTATCTGGTTGGTTCTTTGGGTGGAGGCCAACCGAGAATGCTGAACTGAATCTCCCCCACGTGCTGCCTTCGAAGGTGCTTTGCCGGGCTGATGTATGTTATCGCCTCAGGTCAACACCAGTTTTTTTACCACGAGAAGTAGGTCACATATTTTGTCCACAGACAGCTTAGACGGTTAATTTTCAAACCGCACTAAATGAGAGTACCTTGCTACATTACTGGAACCCCTGAATCCTATTTGAACCCCTTTACTCCTCATAATAGGTAGCTGATTCCCCAGGCACTCTGTTGACATTTTGATCTTTTCTGTTTACCCTGATCAGGTCTTATCTCCAGAGTGAATGGCAAGACAAAAAAGGTCAGCCACTGCCGGACCCAGAATCGTGGACTCTGATCAACTCTGAGGTCAGTCCCTGCTATGTTTGTCGATTTTGTTGGCTATCAGTTTCGTGGTATAGCGGATACCCAAAGGTTCCATGAGATAGAGCTTCTCCCAGTTAGTTCACCGACTGAAATTGAGTGCTTACTCTGAGCATTTTGAATGCGAACCACGTGGAGTGTTTTGGAAATAAAAGAGGGGGTCTTGGGGAGTTGGGTGCAGTTTGTACCTTATAAGTGCAATGTTATGTGTGCTACGGGATTGGGTTACAAAAGTGATTCGCTGAAGGCCTCAAGTTGTTCACCCAAGGCAATTTTTATCCTCAGTTTCATGATAGGAATATGTTGATGAGTTGTTTAATCACAAACAACGGATCAGTTGGGAAGCTGATGACGTGGTACACAATCTCATATCTGGCACTGGTCCAAGTAGGCGACCAATACTTGGTCTGTTAACCAAGTGGTTTGTGGCCCATTGTGCGGGTCTCCTAAATCACACAGCTGCCTCCTTTTTGGGCATATTACCAAGGGTGCTGCCANGGCTGTTCAGCAGGATGCGATCGTTGCACAATAATTTCAATGGAACCAACACAGCTCCGTCGGAAAAAGACTTTCCCGTCCCTCTCTCTCTTGCGGCGGTACTGTTCAGCTCAGGCAGACTCAAAATGAATATGCTCATGTTCACTGCCCATGTGTGACCATGTGTCACTGGTTTCCTGCAGGGATTTTTTAAAGTCGAAAAGTTATTTCTAAATGAACAGGCGAAAACTTTGTACCGATATCAAATAGGAATGTATGAGAACAGAAAGAAGTCATAGGTGGATGCGAAATGCTTCATACGGCCATTATAGTCAATCGCGTTTTACCTCTGATTCACCTCGGGCAACATTTATCTAGGAACTTTTCGGTGTCCGAACGACGTTTAGCTTGCGAATGCTGTTCAGTTTAATCTAGGCGATTTGTAAGTACGAGGCTACTCAAATTGATGGCAGTGTTTTTATCCCTATTGGGAATCATCGGCAGTGCGAATCTCACGAAACTCCAGGGAGTTTCGAACCCGCAACCAGCCGGCCAGTTGTTGAACGCTGAACTGTTCGGCCACGAGCGGCCGATCAACACTGCGACTCGCCATCACCTAGACAGAATACAGCTCCTTCAATCGTGGGATCCACATCACGTGGTCCCACATGTAGGCTAGTTCAACAATCTCCATGTAGCCCAGAAAAATAATTCACCCGATCAGTGGAACTTCCATCTGAGAATTCATCAACGCTACTAACTAGCGTCTAATTCGCTGATTTCACTTTTATCTACTTGCCCTGTGTAAGTACCAGAAGACCCAAATTTACCTCAGAGTCCAAAAATGCCCTTCAATCTGTGGCTACCGTTCAGCTGTTCCGACAGACAGTACATTCTACTTGGTGCGAAAAAAATCTTAACCGATCCGGGCGGATAGATTTAAGGTTGTTTTGACCGCCAAACCCACTCACTCGGCTAATCGTGAGCATATTCGATTCCATGGATTTTCTGACTTCGCTCCATGTGGTCCTGAAGCCTCCGTTATCTCTCTGCAATCTTACGAGCCGGAATCTTGTGATTTGTCAAGATAACATTGAGCGGCACATGGTAGCCACATTGGATCGACCGTCCAGGACACTCCATCCATTTAGCTAGCGGATAGTGTCCAGTTATAGCCCCTGCTCCAACTGACCAAACTCATCGCTTTGATGACCTTCAAAACCGGATTCAGCGCCATATGACACTGGTCTGGCAGGGGATAGTTTTAGTAAGGCAACATACCTCTAACACTTGTTGCATTCCTCTACATCGTCCGTCAATTTCCAAAACTAGTTTCATTCCCATCTCTGTTTCTTCCTTTGGTTCAGGATTCTGTACCTCAGCAAATGAACGGCAGTGACTGTGGTGTATTTACCTGCACGTATGGAGAATTTCTGTCACGTGATGCCAAGCTCACCTTCTCCCAGGTTAGTCTCGTTCTCGCTTGGTCTCCGCAACTTAGCTTTGCTTTGCTTGACTTGTATCGATTTGGTCTTACTTTCTTTTATGTATTCCACAGGATGACATGCCTGGGATTCGTAAACGAATGATGTATGAGATCTTGACTCAACAGCTGCTCACGACCGGATTCAGAGTGCAGTCATCCGTGTCATGATACTCCCCCCATCTGGCAGTACGTGTTCTTTGTAATTAACTTCCCATCCCGCTCCATCCCACCCCACGAATGTGCCCGGTTCACGCCGATACCTTCATTTATACAAATTTGAAAGATGCAGTTGTACGAAGTATTCACGGATCTTCTCGCTTTCTTGTTTCAAAATGCAACGATATTGTGCCGGATCAACATTTTTAGGTCATCTGCGGGCCGTGTTCGGAGTCTTTTGTGTTCATGGATAGCCGCCCCACTGAATTTAGGAAATTAGAGCAGTACATGTGTATCACAGGTTGAGGGGCGTTCTTCTTGGGTACCTTCGGTGGAGACTCTCATAGACGCTTGTATAATTGTGGTTGCAACAAACTCACGTACAGCGAAATACGTTCATTTGCAAACAACTTTGGTTTTGCGAGAGACTCACCTGGAACCCGGCTGGATTTATCGTTTGTAAAGTTTCGCTAATTTCGTGCACTTTGTGTCGTGGGCTGTTTTCATCGACCTTACGAGTAGTGTATTACGTCTATACATGTATCGCGCTATCTCGAATATCGTGCCAGCTGAAACATGAGGTGGCCTGGTGCAGCACATTCAGTCGGTTAGAGACTGCATAAACGAGAGATTCAGCGGGGTTCCAGTTGAGTCTCGCGAAAATAAATTTGTTTGAAAATGTGTATATTTCGCTAATTTCGTGCAATTCGGGTTCAAGTAGAACATAAGGTTGACGGAAACTCGGAGACTACGCCTACCTGATGAGCACCAAGAAGGGTGAAACCGGTCATGAGCTGTCGAAGAGTTCTCAGCAATCTTATGAGTAGTGCATTACGTCTGAACCCACGTACAGTTCATTCGTGTTCGTCCATCTGTAACATCATGCTATGTCAGCCGAGGGAAGCTCGAGAGCTGAGGTCACTGTCAGGATTAGTCGAGATGCCGGAGCCAGGTTTGAACCATCTACCTTTCGGTCAATAAATTAACGCCTTTACCATAAACTATAGAACTCTTTCGTGCCAGTTTCTCAAGAGGAGACAACTCCGGCGGATATCAGATTGTTTCAAGGTAGAGGGAGTACTAATCCGTCACTCGCACGTCTTCCTTACTCTGCAATTGCCTGAATCTGCTGAGAATTTTTATACCCATGAGCAAAACTATTCTGCAAGTTTGCGGACACATATTCACGTCTCTAACTCAGATATTTTGAGCCTCTGTGTGGCTGGACCTGAAAACCTTATTATTAGATGACTGGGCAGTTTACTGAACCGATCACACTGCATAGGTTGCGCTGGCTTGGCCACGTGCTGCGTATGCCAGTCGACCGACTTCCTCGAAGGGTTCTTTTCGCACAACCACGTGAAAGATGGAAGAGAGCCAGATGCGGTCAAACAATGACTTGGCAGCGAAGTATGAAAGCCATTACCAGCAAACGCAGCTGCGCTGGTCACTGCCGTCTTCTTGGATGGGGACCCCGAGACGGGCCACATCAATGGNAAGGCCCAGCTGTGCCCTCAATGGTGCTCATACATCCAAGCTATTGACTTCAATGCATAGCTCCCTTCCCAACCCCCCTAATTAACAGTTCACCTACAGTGCTGTATTTACGCAACAATTTATCAGCTCCCGCCTCCAATGCGCGGCTACTTACCCCATTTCCCCGAATCATCGGTGAACGAGACTGTGGCAGCTACAACCAATGTGCGACGAGTACGCGGTTATTACAGCTGACAATGATGATGATGGTGATGGGCAATTTACTTACCCGCCGCTGACTGTTAGATTGCTCAAACTCAGTCGAGGTCGAAATGATGGGGTCGAGTTCGAGCCTTGACCACTGAGCTATCTCTAACCCAGCGTGTTCCAACGAATGTGTTTCTCTCGCTCTCACCACATTCGCAAAGTCCGCTCGCTTGGAGCATAAGATAATTATAATTTTGTTATCCCGCAAGTAGTCCACTTCCGCTTCACTTGTGATCAATTCTGGAGTTTCCTATGGGCCTACGACCAGGCTGCATTCTGACTTGCATGCAGACATGTCGCTGAGTATGTTTTTGATCCACTAAGCAGATTCCACTAAGGTTTGTACGTCCGCAGATTGCGCGGGTTCATGTGGGCTAGGCTAAACTGTGTATAATAAGTCTTTCCACAATAGTTTATCCGTTTTATGGTAATAAGACGCGTCGTAATTCACAGCTTCGCGCTGTGTAGATAGCTCCTCTGTGGGAATCTGTGGAGTATCAGGTCCCCCCTCAATTTAAACTGTGAATTACAACTTTTCAAAGAAGTTGCATGCATGACAGAAGCTTGGTTTCCTCGGTTTTGAACTCCATTATAAGACAGCCGTGGTCAGGTTGTCTGTGGATTCAGGATATGTCAAGCTGCATTTCAATCCAACAGCGTTTGCTCTTCGTTCTGTGTCCGTTGGATGCGAACGGTGTCCCAAGATCGGCCAAGAAACCGAACATTTCTGTAGAGTGACCAGGTTTCACTGACGTACAGGAGGACACTAACTGCTGTAAAACTCTTCCGTCTCCAAGGACAAACAGGGGTTGTGGTGTGTTACTGGTCTTAATGGAACTTTCGTCCTGTGGATGAAACCAATCAATACTGTGGCTGTTTCATCCCTGTGGGAATAGTCTGTCGAAATTGCAGGATGTTTCGAACCGGCGACCTCTCGGCTAGTGGTTTGAACACGGGTCGTTCGGCCACTGACTGCTAATCCGGAGTATGATGAACTCGCTGCTCAGCCGCTCGTGGCCGGACGGTCACGTGTTCAGACTGCCAGCCGGGAAACAGCTTCTAGGCCTTTCAGATTAGATTGGTTTCACTTATGGGACGAAACCTGCATCAAAATCCCCAGACTTATTTACGCTACCAAGAGCTTACAAGTCTAGTGATCGAGGTTCGACTACCACAGGGAAGGTCTAGATAGAAAATGTAGTTTCCAAACTGTCTTTTTTTCAACTTCCTCCCTTATTCGGACTGTCACATGACGCATTGGTTGTGTATGCGCCTTCGGTCACGAGACTTCAATCAATCATTGAAGAAATCTGAGTGCACTCAAGGAGGAACTTTGATCGATAAACCATCGCCGCTATGATTGGAAATGTTATTTTCTCTTCCGCGTTCCAGCAGCACTCTTCAATTCACACTGTGGCCTTTTCGATGAGTAATCTGTCGCTACTACTCCTGTTATCTTGTCCCCTGTGTGTGTACGGACTAAAGATTTCAGAAAAACAATTTGGGCCATACCTCACTCTGACCTATGTGCACGGAGGTGAAGACGCTCAGATGTCACACACACAAGCCAGGGAGTTCTGTCAAAACCTGACCAGTGGGATACGGCCAGAAGGTACCACATCCAAAGCGCCTGCGAATCCGATCGAAATCCGGAAACATAGCGACCTGGTGTCCATTCACGATCCCACTATGGTACACCAATTGATGAGCTGGGTACTCCCATTGGACAAACGGCAATTTTGGATCGGAGGCCTCATAAGTAAGGTCGAGCACACATTTCAAGATCATGCATCACACCTGATTCACACGTGGACTGATGGCACACCGGCCAACTTCCGTTTCCTGCACTTCACGCAGGCCGATTTCCAAGCTTTCAGCCCCGGCGCAACCTTGTGTTTGTCTGTGGATTTCGTAAGCGGCAAATGGGGAGCGCACAACTGTAACACAGAGATGTATTTTGTCTGCGAGACAATAACCTTAGGGGAGAAAGCTCCCCATGCAGCGACATCCAGTGCTTTTCAGACGACCACTGAAAGAAAGCCTTCAAGTACAAAAGCATAGACTTGCAGTTCCGTTGAATAAAGTTATTCGGCAGACGTTTACTTCCATTTTTTCTTCCATCGGTTTGGCATTATCCTAGAGGTGGCATCCGGGGATCACCTCGTTCTTTGTAGGTTAGTGTTTCTACCGGAATTTCACCCGTTTTGTTTGACAAGAAAATCGTGAGTCCTCTGAGTCTGGTAACGTTCCAAAACGCAATTCGCCATTCATTTGTTTGTGAAGCGACTCTAAGAATTCTACGAGTGCGCCAGGTTGTTTTCGGTGTACGATCTCCGTAACAGGAATTTCAGATTGCAAAACTACATCTCTGTAAACCTTCGCCTGAGAACTTTTTCCGGTGCAGTTCTGGGAAACTTCGTGGGCTTCTCTTGTTTTCCAAACTGCATGCCGTTGCTTGCCACACAAAGGAGGTATGGAGGACAGCTTGACAGTGGCCTTTTAGTCCCAGGAACAGATTCGGAAATGCTGAGTTCGTTAGTTCCAGTGGTCAGTACTCAAACCATTTCCACCTAATTCCCTCTAAACAAGCGTACATTTGAGGACAGACTCGGACACCTGTTCATAAATTTTGATCTCGAGCAAACGAAGATCGGTCAATGACAACGGTTGTAGAGCCAATGAGACGACCATCGTCAGACACGTGCGAAAAATACAGACAGCAACGAACAAAACTGTCTGTAAGTCACTAAAACCCCACGACTTTTGAGCAATAAATTGAGGTTTCTCTCAACTACCCAACTCTCTCCCAACTACCAGTACGAATCTGTTCGCCTGAAAAACTGAAGGACATTCACGTTGTTCCAAAGTGAAATGTCCCTTCCTTGGCCAATCCTGAATTCGACTCATCTTTTCTGCCAACAGTACGTCGATGAAGACAAACTCTACGAGAGAGCCTACTAGAAACTAACTAATTTGACCAAGCCGAAATTCTGGAAATCGATACTGTTAGTTAGTTAGCGACAGTCTGGAGATCATGCAAAAATCCATCTTCTGATGTGATCGTATAACTTCAGGCGTACGAATCTGTCGATGCTTTGAAAGTTAATCTGTGTATGTTTGCAAGTCTGATAGGAGTATCACTGTCCTCGAAATAGTTCTGATCAACCCATTCCTAGCTTGATTCACGAACAATTGCACAGCCAGCTCGTTGGAACGGTCGACGCTTTTGTAATTTGCAGAAAAATTCTCCTTGCGAAGACTGAAGCTCGGCATAATGACACCTGAAGTTCGAACCCGAAACCTTCTTTGACAAGAAAACGCATCCATAAATTGTCACATCACTGTCTTAAATCAGTGTGTTACTGAAGTCTTTAGGTCAGAGAACAAGTTGAAATGCAAATGGCATCTGCATTTGAGAAGGAGTCCACCCACTCCACAATCTCGTGGAGCCCAGAGTCGTCTCTGTATTAGTTTGCCCATCGGGTAACTGTTGCGCATCTGTCTGGTATGCTTTCGGTTGAAAAAAACTGCATAGAATGTGTGGCCAAGGTCGTTCATATTCGGACGAAAACTGCCAATCAGATGCGAGCGTGCACGTGGATCGTTCTTGTTGGTAGTGCGGTTATTGATCCATGTCTTGTATCGATTATTTCATCCCGTTCTTGCTTGACTGATACTTGATTACCAGGCCGAGTTCATTCTGCTTCGGAATTTGTGTTGTAACACCTAATGAAAATCATTTGTATAGTTTATTATGTTTCTAGTTGTTGCAGTCCGAAATTTGAACCGTTCTGTTTCAATCTTTATCACCCATTGGGACATCCAATTTTGAATACAGTGTGTGGACTACCATCGTAATGACCTTGGAATGAAAGAGTATCAGTGTCCCAGAAGAGCAGTTTCACTGAAATTAAGGGAACTGTAAAACCCCCTTCCTTCCTTCATGAGTTTCGTACACCTGAACAAAACAACCTAACTGTTCCGAATTCCCAAAACGCTCAGTAGACAGCAAGGTCGCTTATCTATTCGCTTCTAGGGACGATGTCTTTTACGCCTCATAAAATTACCCTACAGAGCTGTGTGGACCAGAAAAGGATCATATCTGGTAGCGCTGTCATGCGCTAAGGTGGATCCTCACTTTTTCGGGTATGCCGAACCGTTCCCGACACCTCGAATAAACGGAACCAGTCAAAGTTACAGGCACCATTAACTGATCGGCAAATTTGGCCCACATCATCACCATCATCCACAGGTACGTTCACGTTAAAGTCGACTCAAGACAGATTATAACTGTGGCTGATGGCAGATTATTAATTGCGAATAGATTAACATTCAAAAGTACTCCAGCTTTCAAATGCAAGAGTTATCCGGGTCTCTCAGAATTAGCCATCCATATGGAAAGCGAGTGATTTTGGCTCAGTCATCCGCTGGAAGCAATTCAAATTGCCCTTTTCAGTCATGATTGAACCATCCACGAAATGACGGTTAGCTGTAAACTTAAGGGCGTCTGAAAACCTAATTAGTTTATTTAATTACATGTACTGTGTCTTACTTTAACCAGACGGTTGTCCAGTAGACTCCGTCGATCCAAACTAAACGCCTGATGAATCTGTTCCTCAAGGAAGCTTCCGAAGTGGAACACACTGAAGCTTCCATACTGTATGCCCGTAAATTACTAGGAAAGATTATTGCGAGAGAACGGTAAGGAGGAAGAAAGAAATGACCTGGAGTTAGCCTACTATAAGCGCTCGGAGAAACTCAAGACCTCCAGACCTTGGCTGAGACGGTCTGGGTTTAAAATGACACTAAGAATGCCACCAGTTGTTGCACGTATTTTGCAATGCCTCCAAACAAGTGTAGGTGGAAGGGATCTCGGAATTCGTCATGCTCTACAAACTTGACATGATCGATTTCCAACCGTCAAATGGTGACCGCCTCTGCATCACTGCGACTCGTCCAATGGGGGCGAGATGACTCAAGTGGTTAGAATGAGAATTTACTGACCAGAAGGTCCGTGTTTCGAATCCGACCTCTCCCTATCGACTTCCCCTGTCTAGGCATGGGCAACCTGGCAGTATCCCAGCCCTCGTGCTTCCTTCGGGTGGCATGGCAGTTTGGCCTCGGAAGGGTGTTACAGCTGGACGATGATGTATGACTGCATTCACTCACTCAGAGCTAAACGAGCACGAAGTAAAATGGAACCACACACCAGTTCAGAGTTAAACAAAAATATATCGGAGCCATTTTACTGTAGCAAAATTTATAAGCAAAATCAAATATGTCTGTAGAAAAAACAGTAATAGGTGTGGAATCGTTCGATTAATTCAAAGGCTCATGATGTTCTAAAACATTCCTACTTATCTGGGAAGTCAAAATATTTCAGGAATACAGAGACGTTCTTTTCCCAATGCCTCGACACATTGTGGCGAAGGAATCGTTTTCGTCACGAAACTTTGGACAGCTGTGGATGAAAAGACAATCAACATTATTCAGTGAACGGAGGTGTATTACAATCAAACATATGAAGGGTACTCACAAGTCTTGACCAAACATCCGCTTCTGTCAATCAGAAGGTTACTTTGATTTCACTTGTCTACCACAATACCCCATTGTAAAGGCCCGGTGGCGTAAAATGATAATGATGGTGGATAGACCGACAGGCAAACAGATGGGTAAACAGACATGTAAGCTGATAGAGAGATAGGCGGACAGATAACTGACAGCATGCGATAATTCGGGCATTCAGGCTTAAATCGATCTGATCAGTGATAGCGAATGATACCTCAGGGTGCATTTTGTCGGTTTCTCTGCCCTGATCTGGTGTCACGGTTCCCACTACCAATCACGTGATCAGGAGAATCGTTTCCATGTGGAAGTAATGGAAGGCCTGTGGACTGCACAGTAGTTGTAGATCGATTGTTCCTGAAGAACCACTCTTAAAAACATACTCTCCTGGGCAAGAGATACGCCGGGCCCAAGGTTCGCCGGTACAGTAACAGCCTTTTGTGGTCATATTCGGGTAAGAATTAGGCGTTTCCGGCTGACTGAACTACCGGAGTTGCAGAGTGAGAACCCCGGTTACAGAGGATGTTTCATGCCTGATTCTTTGACCTACGTGCTCATAAATGGATGAGACAGAATGCTTTCATAAAGGAAACTACTCACAAGGTCGCTGAAAACTCTTCGATAGCCGACGACCGGTTTCGCCCTTCTTGGGACTCATCAGGTAGGCGCAGCCCCCAAGTTTCCGTCAACCTTATGTTCCACTTGAGACAGAATGCTAAGGAACTGATGGACTAAGGACTGTACAACGGAAAAAAGAGCCAACACCAGTAGACCAAGTTGGTTTCCATTGGTCATACTGGGCTTCTCCCAGTTCAAGAGGGGGCTATCGCCTAACCCCAGATTCGTTTAAATCTAGGAAACAGACTTAAAGGTACTAGAAAAAGGCAGATACTGTGACAGAAAGGTTTGTGGAAAAGAGTTGCACCGCTTGTAGAAGGTTAGTTTCAAACTGCAAGTTGATTGAGGGGCTTGTCAGCTATGTCGTAGGGACTTCCTCCTCAGTCAAGCTAGCCCCAACAGGCAGTTGTTTGTCGTAGCAAGGCGGTGCATTCGAATGTGTGTGTACCTCTGAGGAACAGTGATCTTCGCTTACGACTGTTTGCGTGGTTGAACAACTTATTCAGTTGGATCACTTACTTCTATGCGCTAGCGTTCGAATACGGATATCAAATAGTGACATTTGGGGAGCCTTCAGTAACACCGTACACTGACTGGCTGTCGCAGTTATGAGCAAGTTATCTAACCAAGTTAGGACGAGTCAGAATCCATAAGTACAAACAGGTCTGTCTCTGTCCGTCCACCTGACTAACAACTACGGTGTTCACAAGGAAACACCAAAACTCCCTTGAGAAGTCTCAACGCAAGGAACCAGTTAACACATGACCACGTGAACATGATGAGGCAACGCTGTATCTGGTCTGATCACCCTGATGATCAATCACCGGCAAATGACCTCAAGAGCGTCCCAACTCTTATTCGGATTCAAGCCCCTCTAGATCTTTTGGAGAGTACCCGGATGATAATTCCGTTCTGGTGGGAAGATAAACCTGTTACTAAGGAAGTTGAATAGGCTCCAAATAGACGAATGTTGCAATGTTGCGATTGGGTGAACACGTCATGCTTAAAAATGAGGGTGATAGTGTATCGATTTGCGTAGTTATTATGCGATCCATTGTGAGGCTTGACAAATATTGAGATATGGTCAGCAAGATGTAACGACTGGGTGCAGTGCCGATCACCATATGGTTACCTTTATGCTCAGTCAGACCGCAGGACTCATGTTGTCCACATTGTTCAGTTCCTTCTCACCAGAATGACCAGCGTGAGCTTGTTCTGATGACATGGTTGGTGTTGGTGCAGTGACCTTCTCCTAGAATGGGAATAAGGTGGATGAATTTGGTTAGGACGGAGAAACGGCAGTGTCTAGAAAAGCGAGACACCCCTTAGTTATCTGACAATACGAGATAACAGCAATGGCAGTTCAGTTTGTGCACGATGGACTCACCGCGCCTAATGTAAATAACATGGTAACTTCCCAGCGTCGTTAAAACGAGATGAGGCGAAACATTTTTTTCACTTCGCATTGTCGGGAAACATCTTACCATGTATTAGGTTATGTCGGATTTAGCAAGCATAGTTTAGGTGAGATTGCGGCATCAGAGAACCTCTCCGTCCACTGGATAGTAGTTGCTGAGGTAGAAGATGGCGTCCGTTGAAGTTTGAACGACGTTCCGCTGGAAAGCTCAGCAGCTGAACAGTAGGTGCCACCGATCCTCACTCGAAATCAAATACAACTAGATGAGGTTATAAGCTGAAGTTACTAGGAAGACGCAACTCGAGAGGAAACCTCAGGCGCACGCATTCATCATCGCCTTCGGCTGTAAACAGCTGTGTACTTGCCGTACAGTGGTAATGGTGGTCACAGTTTTGTTCGCCAGTAATTTGAGAAGGTGAGCGGATACCTACGCATTGAAGATAGTAGCTGGCACAAGAGTACCAGTGGGGAGGGGAAGTTATGCTTTGAAGGTAACAGATTGGATGCATGCCCGCTACTGAGGGCGCGACTGGGCCATGTTTGACATCTAGATGTCCCCATCCAGGGAGACCAGAATGAACGGCGCATCTGAGTTTGCTAGTAATGCCTTTGAAACCTCGCTACCAAGTCATTGCTTGACCTCCCTAGCCCGTAAACATCCTCCGGTCTTTATAGGCCACCCTTCAGCATCAACCCATAGTGGTATGCAACAGTGCGGTGCATGTGGTCTTCTCGAACAATCTCTTTGAACCGATCATGAACGCACTGGACGTGTGACTACTCCATACTGCAGTGCAGAAGCACAAAGGACCAGAAGTAGTCGGAGATCATCCGGGTTGTGTTTGTTTAACTAAAAAATGCGTACACACTTAGCCTTCCGTTGAGCTGATCCTTGCGATTGGCTAAAGGTTTTACCAATGACCATCTTGGGAATGAGGGCAAGGAACCCTTAACTACCACTTAAGCAGCATGTTCACTTAACGTGACGTTGCTGAACCCTACACCAGCAAGTAAACACCATCTTTGTCAGTAGTGATAAAACTAGACAAAAAAACGAGTGTTTTGGAAGAATTCGTACACAGTTGGCAGCAGCCTGTCGGGTACTGCAGCAGAATCCGTCTGTAGCATTAGTCTTCTCGCGAAATGTATGCTTACACACACAACCACTGGAAGGGTGGAAACGATCCAGGAGGGGTCAAACGATGACCTTGAAACAAAGTATGGAAACCATTACCAGAAACCTGGCCACTGCGCGCTGAGGACCGCAAAGGTTTTTCAGTGTTTGACCATCCATGTCTTCGGAGCATTGCCCGAGTCTGATGGGAACACCGGATCAGCAATTCTGAAGTGCGTCGAATGGTATTCGGGAGAAATAACTCACTTTCGATAGATGAACTGATCACACTGCACAGGTTGCGTTGGCGTGGCTGCGTATGTCACTTGACCGACTTCCTCGAAGGGCTCTTTTCGCACAACCACGTGAAGGGTGGAAGAGAGCCAGAGGCGGTCAAACAATGACTTGGCAGCGAAGTATTAAAGCCATTACCAGCAAACTCAGCTGCGCTGGTCACTGCCGTCTTCCTGGATGGGGACTTCGAGACGGGCCACGTCAATGGCTAGAGACATTATCAGACATGGCCCAGTCGCGCCCTCAATGGCGCTCGTGCATCAAAAAGCTATTGCATTCACTGTGTAGCTCTTTTTCCAACCCCCCACTTGACAGCCCCTTGACAGTGCTGGATTTATGCACCAATTTACCAGCTCGCGCGTGCAATACGCAGCTACCTACTCCCCCCCCAACTCATCGGTGAACGAAACTGTGGCAGCTACAACCACTGTACGACGAATACGCGGTTATTACATCTGACAGTGAAATGAATGAAATGAATTACCAGCATATTCAGGGATGCGCTGACCGTTGCCGTCTCTCTGGTTGGGGACCCTGAGACGGGAGTCATCAATAATCAAAGACATTGTCAGAAGGGGCCCAGGTACACCATCAGTGGAGCTCGTGCATCCAATCTATTGCCTTCAGTGCATTACTCCCTGTACCGAACTACAGGGTTTTCTATAACTGATTACGATGATGATGCTGATGATGATGCTGACCGGTTCTTATCGTTTCTGATGTTCACTCAATTTGAATGCCTGTCTAAGATGACACTAACTATCTTGCATGCTGTACACGCTGAATTTCACCTCTCGAGAGCAGCGCTGCTTCGTCTAGCAGGGGATTGCGCGAAGCCGAAGACGGAAAACCAATCAGACGGCAGAATGAGTGGATTCTGCTCCACCGCAGTCCGCCTTCTCTGATTGGGTTCATGTTGCCCTAATTGTGTTTGGGTGAAAGTGTGGCCTCCAACCACTGTCACCGACCTTTTCGCTCCAAACTGCCTGGTTGACAGACTTGATCTATGAATCCTCTATGAGGATTTCTTCAAGTACGTTGGTGCGATTATAAGAAGCCAGGAAGCGATATTCTTGCACCAGTATCGATGACAATAGCTTTAAAATCAAACTGAGCTATTTCATACAAGCGCATAATACTGCAAATTGTTGGGCGCATCTCTCGACATGAGGTCATGAGCAGTCGACACAAGAAATACTTACCAAAAAGGTAACAACAGATTGTGAATGAGCCCGAACCTCCTTATTTTCCAAAAATATCATGCTGCGTGCGTCCAGTGGATCAAACTTTTGACAACCGGCAATCTGCCACTGCCAAGGATCCTGGATTTGGAAAATAGGCCATGGTCGATTGGGTTCGATAAAAGATGAAGTTAACTCAGTTAGGTCGTGACTGTTGTCTTCCGTAGAGACCGGGGCTTGTGACCTTGAAACAGGATCTATCAGGTCTCGCTGCCTCCAGTATTTCGGCATCGAAATGCCGTATACGTCCAAAGGCAGTGGTGGTATTGGTTCACCGATTTTTTCCGAAATGTCTCTGGGCACGTCATCTGAAAGTTAAAGTACAGGGTGTCTCACAAACATTTATTATTTTTGATGTGGACATACATGCATCATGGAGGTTTACTGTAAACAAACCAACAAGACCACCCCTTTCTTCTATAACAAGTTGGAAGCGGCATGAGATGTGAGACACAGCATGTTTAACTTCTTCAAGCGTCACTCATGCACACTCCTCTTCAATTCTTGCTCTTAACTCCAGCAAATTTTTCGGTTTATTTTCATGATATACGCGAGCCTTGGTCATTCTCCAAAACCAATAATCCAGAGGTGTGAGATCGGGTGACCTTGCGGGCCAAAAGTTTGGAAATCCACGGGCAATAACTCTCTCATCAGAAAATTGCTCTTGGAGGTAAGTTCTCGCTTAGTTTGAGCAGTGGGGTGGAGTGCCATCTTGTTGAAAGACGGGACCATATCACGCAATTGTGCTTGTTGATTATGCCATTCACAGAAAAATTTGCTTCATCGCTCCATAAAAGTTTGGGAACGATTTCTTCATTGTCCAGCAGCCAGTTAGCGAACGTTAAACGTTGCTCCTTGTCCTCTTCTGTGATGTTTTGTAATGAGGTGAAATGATACGGGTAGAGATGAAGGTGGCGTCTCATAATACGATGCACGCTGGCGCGGGGAATTCTGGTCAACTGAGACATCTGAGTTGTTGACAAAGATGTCATGGTCCTCTGGGACTGAAGTTGCTCGACGTCATTCTGTACAATGGGCGCTCTTTCATCACTCAGAGACTTTCTCCCTTTGCCAGGAAAATCCAATGCGGATCCAGTGGACTCAAATTTCGCAATCAAGCGCGTAATGGTCGACACGGTGAAAAGACCTTTGATGAGACCATGTTTGGTTTTGTAACCACGAAGTACAGTGATGGCGCTTTCACCAAGGAAATAATAGAGTTTCACAATTTCAATGCGTGTACTGACATTCATCGCAGGCAGAAAAAATGTCAACACTTGCACAAAAAATCTCTTTTATGTGAGAAATTTTGTCATCCTTCTTCTGATTGGCTACGTTTACTTACCCAATCAAATTTTGCGTTTATTATGAGACACCATGTATTTTCTGAACTTACGTCTTGAAAGAAGGCCTGTTGTTTTGCTGGTTCATTTTGTATACTGAAGGAGAGGCGGTTTTGTGTACTGAGCGTAACACAATACTCATAAGTTTACTGAAAAATCCGTGACCTCATAAGTAGTGTGTTACACCTAGATGATATCTTGAACGTCGTACCAACTAAAACATGAAGTACATTAGCATCAGCTGAAAGAGACCGATCAATGCTTGACCAGCCTGTAGACAACTAGGAGCAGGTGTCCCTGGGGTTGTCTACCTTAAAATCTTGGGTCGACTTATTGAATAAAATAGATTCATTTCTCCGAGGAATTTGCTTTTGTAATATCAAAATTATTGTGAAAAACGCGACGTTAGCCACACAGTTTTTTGTAGCCCAAATTTACAACGACCGAGGGTGATCTTTATCATGGGAAAAACAATTAGAATCCAATTATTGTACCTCACTATTAATCGAATTCCACCAATTCCGCTCTTGACGAGGGTCACTTAAGATGGTCGAAAAGTTGAGTTATGAAAAACTTTGCAGTTAGCGTCTTGTTCTGCCACAAACTACGCACAACCTACTCGGACACGTCCGTACACAATAGGATGCGAATATTTTGGGATAATTATTTTTTTTCGACCCGTGATTATCGCATCAGTGTCACTCATCCGAACAGGGCGGACATCCTGGTGGGATTATTCTGCTTAGTCCGGACTTAAGAGGGTCGGCTGGAAGCCACCAAGAATATTCAGTGCCACCTGTTAGTTCCAGTAATAGGGGGTTCTAGTTAACTGCCTCCCCCTTTAGGATAGTTTAATTGGTGGTAAGTCTGTTCGGAGTACGGGATCGTGACAAACCTGCTATCAGCCATACATGGAAAGCTGCTCTGCTGTTCAAAGTGAAACCAGGCCTCATCCACCCTCTGCTTGATGCGAAGCAGATCTCGGAGAAAAGAGTGGTCATCCGAGTAATTAGACCATACCGGCTGAGACACGTTCTCTGCAAGCCCGACTGCGAGCCGCCCAAACCTTTCCTTCCTTGCCAATTTCAAGCCCGACTGCGAGCCGCCCAAACCTTTTTGATGCCAATTTTATTGTTCAGAAGGAGACTTCACACCGGAAGACTACTGAAAATCTGGTCGTATACAGTTAAGATCGAGGCCAAACTGCTTTGTCTGCAGGTTTGTCGATGGAGTCAAACGAGGAAACAGATACCGAATGGCGTTGTGGACGGACCTTACTGCCAATCGGGCTTCATGGACAACGGTATGGAGAAAGCGGCCGTCAATTGGAGTAAATACATATCCTGGTGAACGCACAAGCCCATATTAGGCGCTGGGGTCGTCGTCCACATATGGTACACATCAAGATCTATTGCTTACGGCCTAACAAGGATCCTCCATCTGAGGTGGAACGCTGAACACTTAGTAAATGCAACAACCGTTGTGTTGTTCTCTATTTTGTTCGGCAAAGTGTACGCGTTGCAAAAGATAACTGATGTTGTTCTTGTTAATGATGATGATGATGATGGTGATGATGATGATGATGATGATGATGATGATGGTGATCAGTTCCGTCACATTAAATTTCTTTGGGAGAATCAGAAGATTTTTAAACAAAACACACAATGAGATAAATCATGGTCTTGTGAAATCGAGCAGTTCCTTGAGTCATATGAAATTTGCTTGTCCAATGACCACCACTCACGACTGATGGCACAAATTCAAAGAATCCAACCAAGAGATTCAGTGAAAAGACAAGTCAACTTCACACGGGTAATGAGTTAATTCTTAAATTTAACTCACCTCCGTTTCGCTGTCCACTGTTCCTGTTGTTTGCAACTGCTCGTTGAAGGAGCCTCAGTCGTTCGGTCATTCGCCGTCGTAAGATTATTCTACTTACTGCTTGACGAAACCGATCTAGCAGGCGATAGCGATCAGCCCAACCTTGGCAAGGTAGGCGGTAAGTGCGAAACGTTGGGGAAAAAGCTGTCAACCGATCAAACAATCCAATGGGCCGATAAGGGCGTGTCCAGTTGTACGCCATGTTAGGAAAAGGTTGTTTCAATCTTGAGATAGGGATCGTACCGCTAAGATCTGGACGAGGTACACCAAACGATTCAGGGTCGGTTCTCTGGGCCTGAGAATCGAAATTAAAAGAAAGAGGATTAGATCGATGTGGTTTGCTGAACTGGTTGGTTCTCATTCATGACTGAATTTGGAAGACAAGATGGCTCAGTGGTTAGAGCGTGAATTTACTGATCGGAAGGTCCGTGGTTCGAACCCGATCTATCCCCATCGACTTCTCCTGCCTAGGCTTGGGCAACCTGGCAGTATCCCAGCGGTCGTGCTTCCTTCTGATGGCATGCTAGCCAGGAACCGAGAAGGTGCTACAGCTAAACGATTATTGATTGTTATTACGACTGAACTAGATGAGTGTTTTTAAAGTTATGGTTATCCCGGTGTGTTTGTAGCGGATAACAACGAAGAAGGGGTTGGTAAACTGTGGACAGTGTCTCACTTGTGACACAACAGTTTTATCAGGCCAACTGAGTGGTTCACCTGGTTGGTCCAGTTTTAGGATGGGCGAAGAACCAATCGGCAAGATCTTTTCCAATTAGCACACTAGAGCACTGGTGAATGTCCCCAACAAGATCTTAGCGGTGCTTCAGTCATACGGCCGATTATATGGGGGGATTTAAATTCATTCTGGTCCGGCATGGATCATTGATCTTCCATTCCAGGATACTTCAGCTGATGACTTGGGTAAATTTTGTTGGTCTGTTTGGGTCTGTGTTTAGCTGAGACTCAGCTTAGGTTATGCACTTCAGGTCCGAGTTACTTCGGTTGATGACTCATCTTCATTGATAGCTGCACACCGACACATGCTAGCTAGACTAATCCAAAACGACTCTCCACATGCTCGCCAAATTTACGCCTTCTATTCTGTTGGCACCAAGATGCTGGGTGCTTTTCTCCATTTAGGCGGTCGGTCTCAGTGGCACGAATCGTAGTCATCAACTCACAACTTCATACTTTGTGCATACTTCACACTTTGCTGCTTTTCAGTAACGCCCGATATTCATCCGCGTTACCGTGCGGTTTCCGATTCTGTTGTCGCTCTGTCCGATGAAGGACCTTGGTGCAGTCGCTGTATTTAATTTTGTAAACAGCCCCGTGTTCGATCCACCCGTCAGTTGTAAGACCTGGACACCCACACAAAGCGCCAACAGCTTTTAACCTACATCCAACACTGACCTAGTCGGAAGAGACCTTATCGCCTTACAAATCAGCCTGGCAACCAATTCACTTGGCCTAACAAGGCTTTCGTTTCAAAAGTAAAACGTATCCACTTTAACACACAAACATGCCTCGGCCGACACCCAACAGAGATCTTGGTTGACTTAGCTGAGTGGTTCTCCTTCCGCCTTGAATCTCAACCAACGTCAGAACCTAGAACTTGGATTGACGAAGCTTTTGTGCCAAAAGCGAAACTTTGCCGAGCAATAAATCTACCGATTGTCACCAAGCTTTCTCTAAAACGATGAAACGTAACACATTTATAAACCCATTAATTGGTTACCACACTCTTGTGAGACAATAACTATTCAATCGATTGATAAGTCCTTCTAAATTTCGTTTGCACTTACATTTCCCAAGTTATCATGTAGCATTAGCTGACCTCACCCAGGGTTCAAAAGCCCAATTTTCTGAATGCCAATGCTCATGAAGTCGTGTAATTTACATATCCACGTTAGAGACCGATGAAAAGGGCACTTAAACTCTGTCGTAGACGTTGATTGATGGTTTATAGCTGAGAAAGCAGTCATTTGTAGGGTTAGAAGCGAGTAATTTTGTTGGTTATTGATCACGTGACTACTGTTCTGTTCGCCAATCTTAGTAATTGACTTGCAGACGTTTTGTTATCATACGAGGAAACGTTGTCAGTGCGCGTTTCGCTGGGCATTGCCTATTTGCCAGTGTGAGTTTACATAGCATTTGAAGATTATCTGTTATCTCTTAATGTGGTTGCCTATTTGTGTGACTGTGCCTCGTGAATTTATTAGTCCGTTTTTTATCTTTGCCGCGTTATGGTATTTGGCAGGCCGAAAAACATCAACTGGAGCCCGGAATACTTGACAACATAACAGGTGAAAGTCATCATACAGAAGTTCCCGAGGACATCAGAAAATTAACCTTTTCAGAGGATTGATCCCTTAGCTAGTCGCATTCCAGTTCAATGAGTGTAGTTTCTGGCGAACGCCACTGAGAGCCATTAGCCGCCAGAACTTTTACCTTCCGAAACCAGGTACACTGGATCAAGCGGTTTCCATCCTGATAGGTGAGTAGCATCGACAGCACCCAAACGTTTCGTGATTTCTTTCATAACCCTCTGCCATGTAAGGGGTTGGCCACCTCTCTGCTTCCAACACTCTGAATTGGGTATGGAAAACAGCACTCTCTTCAGCAAACGATGGCTAGGCATACGCAACACATGTCCCAACCAACGCAGCTTCTGGTGCAGGACACATTCGTCAATGGGATTACCCGTTTCACAACTGAAAACTCGCTTTCTAATCGCCTCGTTGCGCATTCGTCGTCACCAACCCACACGAGCTATGGTTCTGAGACAACGACTGTCGAACACCTGAAGACGTCTTAGTTCCGCTGCTCGAATAGGCCAGCTTTCACAGCCATACGACAAAACAGTCCGCACACGTCTCTTGAGATTCAGGGCTACACTACTCTGAAGCCATAGTTGTCACAAATTAGCAAAGGCGATCCGGGCTTTGCAGATTCGTGCATTGACCTCATCTGTCACACTACAGTCAGAACTAATACAACTTCCAAGATACGTAAAACGCTCTGTCTGGAAGGTACTTGCAATACATCTGACAGTGAGACTGCCCACCATGTGGCCTCCTTACGACTGGGCTTGGAACCTTGCGCGTTGTTTAGTCACACTGGGAAACAGTGGCCAGGATTTTCGAGTGGCCACCGGTATATCCTGTTTTGTGACTTTGAGTATTCTCTGATAAGAAAGTCTCGCAAAGAACGTCTATTCCAAGTAACTACCTGTTTCCAAAGAGTTTTGACGAAGGAAATCTGGATTTCCAGTGTTGGTATTGTGAGTAGATACAAAGAGGTCAGAATGACCACTGGAAAGATCACCTGAATTATGATGTCTTTGTAGTCCGCGATGAGGAGTGCAAAACGGAACTTGTTCCGTAAAATCGCCCCTTCTAATGTAATTCAATATACAACTTCCAAGATACGTAAAACGCTCTGTCTGGAAGGTACTTGCAATACATCTGACAGTGAGACTGCCCACCATGTGGCCTCCTTACGACTGGGCTTGGAACCTTGCGCGTTGTTTAGTCACACTGGGAAACAGTGGCCAGGATTTTCGAGTGGCCACCGGTATATCCTGTTTTGTGACTTTGAGTATTCTCTGATAAGAAAGTCTCGCAAAGAACGTCTATTCCAAGTAACTACCTGTTCCCAAAGAGTTTTGACGAAGGAAATCTGGATTTCCAGTGTTGGTATTGTGAGTAGATACAAAGAGGTCAGAATGACCACTGCAACGATCGCCTGAAGTATGATGTCTTTGCAGTCCGCGATGAGCAGTGCAAAACGGAAGTTTTTCCGCAAAATCGCTCCTTCTAATGTAATCCACTGAGAACTATCAAAATCAGCTTCTTCAGTACTTTTTAAAACTCACGAAATAATTGTTCCAGGCCTGAATCCATTCGTCTTCTGTTTTATCTCGCTGTTCAGGGGTCAAAGGTTGTCCACCAAGTTTGGTTTGCCAGCGCACTTGGTTTCGTCTTTCCTCAGTGGCATCTTGTCGCACAGCCGCTTCGAACTCCATGACCTGTCCATCAGTCGGAGAATACGAGAAAATATGCTAACTTTCAGGTGTAAATCAACTAACAGAAAGACCACTTGTAGTATTTTGTGATTATAACAACAAAATCAACAATAATAATAATACGGGGAGTGTAATAAAACAGTTTGGTCCATATCCAAAACCTGGGCTCATCTTTTGTACAACTGACTGGGTCCCACCTATGAAAATGCTGGGCAGCAATGTGTCCCGTGAAAGCAACAATAGGCCCCATTGGGTAATATCATGGACTTCAGTCTCAACGTCTCGGATTAGAATTCGCTTGCGGGTGCCTTTAAGTCGGCTGTCTTAAACTATCTTAAACACCCAGTGGCTCAGCAGAGAAGACGTCAAGGTTACTTGGTATGAACTGGACTATTTTTGGCAAACTTGAGTAACTTGAGCATTTTTCCAAATTCCTTCACCAAACACCAGTTGTTACCCCTTTGAGTACTGCTCGGCCAGCTTTGCTATTATAGCTATCGAGCTATCGATCAGCTGTAACACCATTCCGGTGCCTAGCTGCCATGCCACCCGAAGGAAGCACGAGGACTGGGATGCTGCCAGATTGCCTAAGCCTAGATAGGGGGAATCGAGAGGCAGAGTCGAATTCGAACCGGACCTTCCGATCAATACATTCGCGTTCTAACCACCTGAGACATCTCGCCCCCTGTTTTGCTACTGCTTAGAATCGAATCATCCAACGACTTTGCCCCACCAACACATTCAGGTATCTTGGTCAAATAGCTGGGTATGTATGCGTCTATTTGAGTTTATGAGCTTCAGGTTCGTTTTTTATGGTGTTCACATCCATCTGGCCGCCACGGCGAGGTCTTCTTTACGTTTTTATTGCTAAGACAACATGTCTGCAGATCTTGAGGACAGGGGTGCTAGGTAATTTGAAGAAATGCATGTGAGGATCGATCCAGAGTATTTGAAATAGTCATTCATGACCTTGAAAACCCAGCTACTCGGGTTGAGAGTTGTAGTCGGAAGAATCCGTTTTCTCCTGATTCGAATCTGAGTACTTGGAATGTCTGCGAGAATCAGTCAATAAGTAAGGTGTTGTTTAGATCGCTGACGGACTCTTGGTTGCATGTAACCCAATTCAGTCAAAGAGATCAATCGCCATCAGGTGAGTAACTTCACCTTTCAAGACTCAAACACCTCTTTTAGTCGGTTCATGAAGAGGCGTTCAACTGGAGACCACATTTGGTCGGTCACCTCAAGCTCTCTTTTCCGGGAGTAAGTCAAGTGTATTTCACGACTATCTCAATAGTTTAAATCCACACATCAAGTTTAACATGGGGATAGAGTCCACCTCAGGCACATTGCCCTTCCTGGACTGTACGATACATAAGAGTGGTGGGAAATTAAAAACGACTATCTACGAAAAACCAACAGACACACGAACCGTCTTAAACTACTCATCAGCACACCCAAAGTCCGTGTACGCCAGTATTGTCTCATCAATGTTTAGTCGAGTCAGCGCGCTGCGCACAGAAGAGATCGACCGGACGACAGCTCAAATCGAGGTTGCCAACAGAATCAAGTGTCAATTATGAAAGGTATTGGCTCGAGTATCTAGATCCAGTAAGGAATGGATTAGCACAGCAGTCATTTCATATAAAGCAGGAACATCGGAGGTAATTCGAAGAGTATTGGACTTAGCCAAAATTCGAATAGCTTTCCAGAAGCGAAAAACGCTACGCTCAGTTTTGTTGCGATTGAAAGGTCCCTTGCCGGTTGAAAGGACACACTGTCAGGGAATTGCGCACCAGAATTGGCGAGGATAAGAAACCCACCGAGGATTGCGGATGGATACCAAGCGCTAACCGAAAAAGACTCAGCGATGGCCATACATGCAGTACACACAGGACAAAACAGACGAGGAGAATGTAGAAGTCTGTGTCTAAAAGTACAGAATCCAGGCAGAATAAGATCCACTAAACTGGCACCCCTGAACGCAATGCGCGACACCCGAAGAGAATATCCAACCAAGCTGTTCCATTCTAGACAATCAAGACCGCAAAAATCCCGATTCATCTCGATAACAAACCCCACCAACCAGTAAACAGGAACTTCAGACTGAACACCCAGGACTGATCAAGTCGACTAGTCATTAGTCGGATCGGTTATCCGACCAAACCTGAAACCCGATCAACCTGGCAACTTACTCATTTGGCCGGACGAAGCTTTTCTGTCAAAAGCCAAACCTCTCTGAAAGGATGACTACTCAGTCAGTCCCAAACATTTTTCAATTGATTCATTTTCACTAATATTTGTAGCGTGGCTTAGCAAAAGGTTCTTGTGAGTGTTGAAAAAACCTGATCTTACGGCGAAAATCTGACAAAAACACGTACCTGTTGTTCTCTGCGTTTTCTCAAAAGCGAGGATTCTGCTTCGGTACCTCTTTGTCTACCAAGGAGAAATTTCGCCACGTGATATGGGCAAGTCATTTGCGGTAAATCCACCTCGGTATTTGGTCTTTTGATAGGTGCCTAATAAGGTGGAAAGAGTAAAATCACAAACACTATCGGCGGGGAGGGTCAGTATGGAAAAACAATATTTCCCAAAACTGGAGGTCCGTGCATACTCTAAGTACTGGGCCGGAAATCACCGTTATAGGAATGACTACTGCAATGTTTTTTGAACAAGCGATATCACTATCAAATGCGGTGGGATTCTGATGGGCTGCCCATCATGACCTAAAGGCAGGGGGCTCTCCCTGATTGAAATGGGAATATTCATCCTCCAATGGCACGCACAGATAACCAGATTTTCGACAAATACACTCATTTGCAAATCAATTTGGTTTTCACGGGAGACTCAATTGAATCTCTCGTTTTTGAATCGAATATCGTGCCAACTGAATCATGAGGCGGCCTGTGTGCAGCACATTCAGCTGGAGGACATCATAAACGAGAGATTCAGTTGAGTCTCTCGTGAAAACCGAATTGATTTGCAAATGAGTGTATTTCTCGAAAACACTCCGATTTGGGTTCAAGTAGATCATAAGATTGACGGAAACTCGGGGACTGTGCCTACCTGATGAGCCCGAACTGGAAGGGCGAAACCGGTCGTGGGCTATCGAAGAATTTTCACCAACCTTGTGAGTAGTTTCCTTCACGAAAATAGATTTTCGACAGTTGAGTGTAAGGGACATGGAGAATCCCAGTCAGAGACTCTCGCCGTTTAGAAGACACGAAGCTGCTCCTTGTTCTTTCGGCTCAGTTACAAGTATCCGTCACTCTCATCGTCAGCTCCATGCGGAGAATGATGATTCATTGCCACATAAGTTTTTTACAGAGTAACAATAAAGAAGAATGGATAAGGCAGGGGTAGAGTCTGGTCTATAATGATAACTCGCTCAGAAAGCGAAATCAGGAGTTCCTATAGTCGATTTTGAAATGCCCCAGCCAAATTACAGCAAAGGTTTCCGGTTACTTATTTTGGAAGTCAAGCCGTAAAGAAGGATGCAACTGATGCTGCCACTTGAATGCACTTAGGAGCGAACATCTTTAGCACTCTTAGGCAGAAGGAACTCTCTCGCGATAGATGAATTACTCACGCTTCATTGGTTACGCTAGTTAGGACATGTGCTCCACATGCCAGAAGACCATCTGCCTCACAGAGCTCTTTTCGCCAAGCTTTGTGCTGGGTGGAAGCGACCGAGAGGTGAACAGTGTTGGACCTGGCAACGAAGTACGAAAGCACTAACCAGCAAACTTAGTCGGGTCGGCAACTGCTGCCTCTCTGGATGGAGACGGCGGGATTCAACTCACCAGTGGTTANTTCTCGAAAACACTCCGATTTGGGTTCAAGTAGATCATAAGATTGACGGAAACTCGGGGACTGTGCCTACCTGATGAGCCCGAACTGGAAGGGCGAAACCGGTCGTGGGCTATCGAAGAATTTTCACCAACCTTGTGAGTAGTTTCCTTCATGAAAATAGATTTTCGACAGTTGAGTGTAAGGGACATGGAGAATCCCAGTCAGAGACTCTCGCCGTTTAGAAGACACGAAGCTGCTCCTTGTTCTTTCGGCTCAGTTACAAGTATCCGTCACTCTCATCGTCAGCTGCATGCGGAGAATGATGATTCATTGCCACATAAGTTTTTTACAGAGTAACAATAAAGAAGAATGGATAAGGCAGGGGTAGAGTCTGGTCTATAATGATAACTCGCTCAGAAAGCGAAATCAGGAGTTCCTATAGTCGATTTTGAAATGTCCCCAGCCAATTACAGCAAAGGTTTCCGGTTACTTATTTTGGAAGTCAAGCCGTAAAGAAGGATGCAACTGATGCTGCCACTTGAATGCACTTAGGAGCGAACATCTTTAGCACTCTTAGGCAGAAGGAACTCTCTCGCGATAGATGAATTACTCACGCTTCATTGGTTACGCTAGTTAGGACATGTACTCCACATGCCAGAAGATCGTCTGCCTGACAGAGCTCTTTTAGCCAAGCCCTGTGCTGGGTGAAAGCGACCGAGAGGTGAACAGTGTTGGACGTGGCAACGAAGTACGAAAGCACTAACCAGCAAACTTAGTCGGGTCGGCAACTGCTGCCTCTCTGGATGGGGACGGTGGGATTCAACTCACTAGTGGTTAATGACATCAAAGCTATCGCCTTTAATACGTAGCCATCAAGCTCCCGAACTAACCAAAGCTTGTCTGTATGTCCAACACTCTCCCCTATCCCGGTGATCGAAACTGTAGCAACTGGAACCAATGTACATAAAGTACATGGTTTCTAGCTGATAAATTGAACTGAATTGAATTGATATTTGACTGTGTCGCCAACCTGTTATATCTGACTGCTAGCCCCAATCCAGTGCCTAGTGCCGAAAAAAGGATGACTCGCAGACAAGGAACTCAAAAGCTTTATTGCAACAAGCGAGTGCGAGTGCGATGTACAACGGCGTCGTGCTATATATTGAAGGGGGCACTGCCTGACTCTGATTCAGGACTGTCTGATCGGCATTTAGTGGAGTTTCAGGGTCTCAGTAGGTTTCGTATATTGTGGGATAATCTTCAGATATCTGACAAGCTCCTTGTATACTATGAACTAGCAGACTCTGTGGAAACGGTGTTCGCGGTTAGCATATATTTCACGTCGTTCCTACGGGGCAGTCCCAGTTTGAAAGCCGTGCAATATTCCGTCCAGCTTCATATATGGGTGTGCAACAGCGGCAGATTCTACGTACATTTTTTATGTTCACTGGTCTGACTATTTATTGATAGAATATCACCATCATCATCGACAGCATGACATCAGTGTTCAACACTGGTGCTTCGCTGCCGTACAACCATGATTTAGTTGTGAAGAAAAGAGTAAAGGTGGACGGAAGGAGGGACTTAGTGCCAGCATACTACAATCATTCCCAGGTGCCTATACCTTTAGACACTCACTCAGTCAATCTGGATAGAAACTGACAAAAAGAACGCCACTGATATCGGTTGGCAGCCATATCTTGTAGTGTCTCCAACCAGGCACAGCATGGATCACGCGGTCCCCATCCTGGTAGCACCGAGTAGCATCGACAGCACCCAAACGTTTCGTGATTTCTTTCATAACCCTCTGCCATGTAAGGGGTTGGCCACCTCTCTGCTTCCAACACTCTGAATTGGGTATGGAAAACGGCACTCTCTTCAGCAAACGATGGCTAGGCATACGCAACACATGTCCCAACCAACGCAGCTTCTGGTGCAGAACACATTCGTCAATGGAATTACCCGTTGCACAACCGAAAACGTGCTTTCTAACTGCAGATTCTGCAGGCGGTATGCACCCGCTGCCGGTCAGTAGGTCACGTGAGCGTACCCAATGACGGCAGAGTATCTCGCGTGACAAAAAAACTGTTGCGGCAGCTCTCTGTTCACATTCGCCAACTAATGCCCAGTCAGAGCGGGAGGTACTGCGAAGATTACTGAGCAGTTTGAATAAAGGGGTGACCAAGTTGCCTCATCAGTTCAACGAAAAGTTCTTACGAGTATCTCACACCGTTTATGTCTTTCACTCACCTCTTTTGGTTTCGTTTTCATTCCAGGTTTTCCAGGCTTCTTCACCCTTTTGAATGCCGCAACTCGCTCCAGGGGTGGTAAGATAATAGATGCTTGATCGGAAGTCTCTCCGTTCTTTGTCCACGTCTCCTTTAATTTCTCACTTTCAATTAAAAACCGAATAGATAATTTCAATTTTGAAAATAAGAGAGACGTAGATTCACTAGAGACAGATTGACTAGATAGGACGAACTGGAGGTTCGGCGTACAACAAAATGTATCCCGCTCTTGCTCCAAGCCGTTATTTACCTGAGCCGAGGTAGCTTCTCTTTCTCGGGAAAAAAGAGGCAATGTTGTAACGATCTGAATTTCAGATCACCTAAAACCCCGCTAGGATCTCTTTTGTGCTAAGAGACAAGGGTCATACTACGGTAGTAGATCTGATCATCCCATAGGCAGCCAACATTAGAAAATAATATAGTGGACAATGGACGAAAACAATATGCGATATTCACGGCAAGACCACGCCACTTACCTTTCCAAACCCGGTTCGGAGCACCCAATCACTGTACAGAACTGCGGTGTGAAGTTGAACTGGGAAACTTTCAGCATCAGTTGAAGCCTACAGGTGGTATAGTCTGTTGGGGTGAATTCAATTCGTATTTCTTGGGGAGTTCTGGCCTGAAGAAGACCTGGTGATGAAGGACAGGCGGGTAAAGTTTGAAGTAATCGAAACTCCAACGTAACCTGCTATGATGTGTGCCGTTTTAATGCCACCGGTTAATTCAACCCGTCATTATCCACCCTCAGCTTCGAACCTTCGACAATTGTACCTTACATCTGAGGTCGGAAACACGCCAATGTTTGAGCTGGCTGATTCGTTCATCGGTAACGCTCTTTCGGTGTCTAGTCGCCATGCCACCAGAGGGAAGCGTGATGGCTGGGAGACTGCCAGGTTGCCCAAGTTTGGACAGCTGAAGTCGAGAGGCGGAGATCGGATTCGAACCACAGACCTTATGTCCAATAAATTCGCACTCTAACCACTGAGCCATCTGGCCTTCGTTGGCTGATTCTGGCTTTGACCTTCTTCGGGCTCGTCATGTAGGAGCAGTCCCAGAGTTTCCGTCAAAATTACGTTCTGAGAGAACGCTGATGAGCCCCAAGGACGGCAGAACCGGTCGTGGGCTGTCGGTGTTTTCAGCAACAGTATGAGTGGTGTATTGACTATATACAATGAAACACGATATCTCGAATATCACACCAACTGAAACATGAGGTGGCTCGGTGCAACAAATAGAATTGCTCAAAAACATGATAAATGAGGGATCAACTTGGGTTCCAGCTGAGTCCCCCGTCAAAACCGAATTGGTTTCCTAATGAGTGTATTTCGCTAAGTTCGCGCAATTCGGGATTGAGGAGAACATAGGGTTGACGGAAACTCGGGTATTGCGTCGACCTGATGAGCCCCAAGAACAGCGAAACCGGTCGTCGGCTGTCAAAGAATTTTCAGCAACCTTATGAGTAGTGTATTACGTCTGAACACTCACCCGTTCTGCTGCGAGTGGCTGATCATCATTTTGATTAGTTTACTCTTAGACGTGATGGTATACATAACTAGTGTCGTGAAAATTCCATCTTATCCGCCTCTTTGTGTTTGGTTTCACCCAGACAGGCATTTCGTTCTTGGTGTAGCAGACGCCACCCTGGTACGGTTGAAAAGCCCTTCTGATGGAGAATGGACGCCACTGGAACTTACCCAGCAGGCCAACTAATGACCAAGACTGTGCCATCAGGCTATAGGACCGATCACATCCGAAGGAAGTATTTCGACCTGAGAGCAACATTACCAGTATGGCTCACTCCTCGGGTAGAGTGCTTAGGACAGTTCCACGTGTGAGGTTTATGCTTGCCATTTACATTCATCCGTGATAAAATATGAGGACAAATTTGATTGTAGTAAAATGCTTCTTTTCTGGTGATTGATCAGATGATCATTGACCTGTTAGCCAAGCTTGGCAACTGGCTTGCAAACACCTCATCCCCAGTCGAGGAAACATCATCAGTGCGTCATTGAGTGAGCTGAGACCCTCGAACTTATTGGCCAGAAAATCCGCGGCTCGAACCCAACTCCGGCAATCCACTGTCCTTTCTAGGCTTGGGAAACCTGACGGCATCTCAACATTTCCTGGTTCTCTCAAGTAGCACTTCACCCAGACATCGAAAGGGTGTTACGACTGAACGATTATCTGTTAGCAGTAAATTCGAGGTTATGGTACTATTAGGGCACTCTTGGACGTACTCAGGTGCCTTCTCGTATTTTATACCTATTGTGTTGTCTGGGATCGGACAACTTGCAAATTTGTTTCCGGTTCATTGTGCAAAATTCAGAAACGCTGACGCAACCAGGCGATTTACGGCTTTGTCCATTGTTTCAGAAGGGAAAAGTCAAATGTATCCGCCTCATTTGTTGAAATGAATGTTGCTCAACAATTGTTATTCGCCTGACAGTCAGTTCTTTCTCTGCAACTTGGGGAAAGTAGTCTCTCAGGATCCGATTCTTACTGATTTTTATAGTTTTACGCTTGTCTAGAGTATTCATCTGTGTCAAAACTCGTTAGGTTCGAAAATATGATCGACCAAAAAATCAGTGCCATTTTTCTCTCGTATCCTTATTACTTGGTTGGGATCTCCATGACCTTCAGAAGATGTAACGTCACATTATGGACTTTTTAACTGGGAGAACCGATTCAGACTGACATATGCCCGGACAAACAAACCAGAGACAAGTGACGCTCATCAAGAGACCTACCTTTGTCGGGGCTAACTGTGAAACTCGCGTGATCTTGAATTTTCTGAAGCATGAAGTTGAAGTCCACTTTTGAGCTGCATTTCAATAGAATCGTATGTGACCACCTGGATAAGAAAGATAGAGCTGTAAGTTGCCAATTTTGTGCAGTCTTGTAATTCCACCAATTACCCTGAGTGAGCTTTAGGTAATTGGGACTTCACTCCACCTAACAGCTACCAGATTAGTGGCGAATTCACTTTGAAAATCAAATGGACAATACTGCAAGCAATCAAGACTTCTAGCTCTTTTTGTTCCCTGTTCATTCATACATCAAGTGCGGTCAGTTGCGGTGTACTAATAGAGAACCACTCAGGCAAGGAGAATGGCATATCCAAAAAGTTTTAAAGTCAAACTAATATCACCGAGTAAGTAACTATGGTTTGTTATCATTATTTGTCTCCTGATTTTTATTTTCACAAGGATTTCTTGAATTTTGTCCAACCATCCGCACTTGTAGGACCTCTGAAAACGGGAATTTCAACACCAGAAGAGGAAACTGGTGATGTAAAGCCCTACGACCATTGCAGTTTGCTTGAGTAATGTCCTACAACTGAAGAATTAAAATCGGACGGCGAGGCGAATCTAGGGCTAGCCCACAGAAAGTTTCCGCGGTGTCTACACCTTCACTTCACTAAGACTTTCTGGATGAAGCACGAACACAGCACGAACGACAATGACATCGGTTTTCCGCCTTACCGTTTATCGTCTCCAGTCAAGGATAAGCAAATTCATCATCTTGGAAGGCCAGCGGCATCAATGGCATCCAAACTTTTAGTGATATTCTTCACTCACTTCTTCCGAGTCATATTCTCTCTACCTCTTACTGTGTGTCGTTCCGAAGTTAGCGTATAGACAAAACATCTCAACGGGCGGTAACCCGGCACGCGTAGCACATTACCCAGCTCCTTAGCTTTCGTTACTGAATGCCGTAGTTGAATGAAGTGCTTTCTGCTATATCGCGTCTTGTATAACGAAAGCCAACAGGCTCTCAGCTACTGGTAGGCACAGTGAGGTGAGTTGAACTTCCGTACAAAATTTTCAGCCAATGTCTGGTTTGATACAAACTCTCATTGCAGCGAAATGTACTCGTTTGTGGATTACGTTTGTGTTGCCGAGAGACCAAAGTGAATCTCTCATTTATTGTATTACCCAACTGAATGTGCTGGAAAAAGGCCGTCTGGCAGACAAGGCATCAAAGCGTATTTTCTCGAAAAAAACATACTACTCATAAGGCTGCTGCTGAACATTTTCCAGCAACTTTGTCAGTAGTGTGTTGTGCATAGAAAAACACTCAATTTCCTGCAACTTCACTGATTTCAACGACGGTGCCGGACGCTATTCATGAAACCTTGATTACGTGAAGTTTCACGAGTATTTTCGTAAGTTCGAGTATGTTAGAGGCGCTGTCGGACTGTTTGTTGTGATACTGTCTACCTACCAATAAAGCGGCTCCGGCTGTCAAATGATTTGTTTCATTTATTTTTTTTTTACTGAGAACCCCTTATTTATACGACACAGTAGCTCTGGTTGGCCGGACTAAAGACAAATGACCTTTGTAGGCCAACCAATCAAAGATTGGCCAACAGAAGTGTCTGTCACGACCGCACCAAGTTTGCCAAGCGCACCGAGGCCATTGGACGAGGGATGGAAGTAGAAAAACCGAAGACTGCAGGCGGAGATCCCACTGTACCCTGGTCGATGCGGTGAGCTTGGTCCGCGTTTTTTACGCTACAAGAATTTGAAAATGAGTCACAAGTGCAGACCATTTAATTAGCCTAACTGCCATATTCAAATTTCGAACCAATGCCAACAACGTCAACAGTGAACCCAGGGGATCTAGTAGATTGTCTATTGGAGTAAAGTAGATGAGAACTCTGTGCAAGGCTATCACTAAACGGCCAGTTGGATATTCTGTACCATTGAAACTATCTGCACAAAAGACTCCTACAAATGTCACTAGGCCAACCGAAAACTTACGTGTGTCCCAATGGTACTGGCGGTAGTGTTATGTGCTGCGGCAAACGTAAACCCTCAATCACCGGATAACCGTATAGTGGAATGATCAAGTTTCTGTCGTGATCCTGTGTGAACACAAAGGAATAAAGATAACCAGTTTGGTTAGCCAACTTTATCTTGAAAAAGAATTATGACAAAGTCGTTTCTTCCGGTGCCAGTCGGACAAAATTTTTGCATCATACACCACGATACTATCATCACTAAAATAAGTTGTGATTTTTGCGGATCAAACTGATGCTAATCGGTGGTGCCTGAGTACAACTCGCAGGAGGCGATTCGAGTCTAGGACATATCACTTGCAAGCTGGTTTTAGTAATGCTGTTGGTTGGCTACACAGAAACAAATCTCAGAAAAAATCGGGGATTCATGAGAGGGTGACTGATTGACTGACTGAATCCTTTGGTAAATTTCAGGTAGCGAAGGCAACAAGGAAGGGTTTTTTTCAGATTCGCCACATGAAAACCGTTTTGCCGACTGCTAAGTTCCAAAACATACTTAGTTTAGCGTCCCTTACCTCAATTAGGCTGGTTTATCATCTCAGTCATTTACTGTGCCGGAGACAAGCTACATACTCTAACAGGCGAAATCGAGTGTCGTGTCGGAACGGGTCAACTCAGTTAATCAAGTAAATTGCCCAAAATAAATTGAGTGGAGACCTTCGAGTTGGTGAAGATATAAGAAGGGACACAGAAAACAACTGATACCGGTAACTCATTCGTTACGACAGGTGGGGATGTCGTTATAACGGGTACCACTGAAACCAGGACATAAAGTATTTTACTAACCTCAAATCCACTGGCCTTGCCGTGGGGCGATTGATAAATACTGATCGCTATGTTACCCCAGACGGATGGTAGACGCAAGGTGGATGTTACACGTACTGATGCGACGAAATTACTGTGACCATTAGGTGGTAGAACTCCATTAAAATGAAACTGGATAAACCGGGACAAGTTCATCGCAATGACAGTTCGTCCCTAATGACAGTGAATTTCAAAGTCCTTTAGAAGGTAGGTGAAGTAACGGATTCCTAGAATCACACAAGGAGCAACACTAGGAGCAAATCAATCGGGACCAGGGGTCTCCACCGAAAACTGGCGAGCTTGCTTACATGTGATCAGCTATTAAGTAGTATGTAAATTTCGTCTGTGCCACATCCCGCATGCAACAATTCTGCACAATTCCCCAACAAAATAAATATGTCCCTATACTACTGCTATCGACCCAAAGCTAGGACGACAATCAGTTTTCCCCACTCATGCTTTCGTCCTTCCTTCACTTATGGGACAAGGACTCGCCTCAAATTAACAGATATCCTCACTACTAACAAATTATAAGTAATTTAGAAAGAACAGTTGCAGGTCGCGTGAATCTTTTCTGAGTTCATCACACATAAAACACAAGTGTTGTGGGACCCGTGAGTGAAGAATAAGTGAGACTATATCCTACCGAAACGCGAGATAATCTCGATGCTGTTCAGCCGCTTTTGGCCGAACGATGGGAGTTCAAAGTACTGACCGGGAGCTCACGGTTTCTTAACTCCCCGGAGGTTTCGTGAGATACGCGCTACTGCTCATTCCCAATCAGGTTAACAAAACTGTACAGTGCATGTCAGCTTTTCGACATAGACGGGCTTCTCTCTTACAACTGGGGTGTCCAAGCCTTTTCACACAAGAAACAAATCGATGTTAGAAAAGTTTGCTACAATAATCTTCCACTGTATCTTCAGAACAGTCAATAGAAAATGACCCCCTCCTCAGAGTCAATGATTATATATTTTACCGGGAATCGCGGACACCATAGTAGGTTTTGGAAATGCACGACAGAGTTTTCCTCTCCAGTTCGATTTTCGCACCTCTTACAGTGACCGACTTGCGGAATTGTCTATCCGGGTAGAAGTCCCCGTAACTGTTAGGAGTTCTCGAGAATGCTGCGCTAGGTGCTCTTGCAAAGCTGTTTTGAACATGTTAAGGGCAATGTTTCCCCGACTATAACCTCCGTCAAAAAAGAAAAGCATACCTCTGTGTGGACCAGGATGGCATCCTCGTAATAGCGGTGCTCCGTTGGCTTGAAGTGGACGCGGCAGGTGATTCGAGCCCCAGGAACAAATCGCTGCTAACAAACGAAAGCGTAGAAAAGGACGGAGTGAGTTGAGTTTAACACCGTCCTTTCACTATTGTTTACTCAAAAATGGTGAATAATATGTTTCGTAATTGAGGAAGAATACGAAGCGGAAAAAAGATAGCTTTCAAATAGTTCCACAGACGTAAAATACTAATCTCAAGTTTGCTGAAATCTCTCTGAAACCTAACGAACGGTTTCGCCCCTCTTAAGGTTCATCAGGTGGGTGCATACTCAGAATTTTCAGGGGTGTTGCCCATTATTTTTTGTTTCACGGCTGAAGCAGAAGAAATCCTGTCAGCTACACTAGCTTTCGGACGCTCGACCAGAACGAAAGTCCTCCTTGATATCCTCTGGATATCAAAACCGCTATTTATGAGTGAGAAGATGCCGACCAACATGCAATTCCCTCCGTGAACGTGGTGACTGGAAGTTCCTTTAAAACTTAATCTGGTCTTAAAGACATCCGGGTAATGCTTTCAAGCTCTGCAGCCTTTTGAAGCAACGGACAAAGAACTGGCCTCAGTAATGTGTCATCCCCAATATCAGCTGTAAAAATAACTCCGTTCAGTAATGATTTAAGTTGGAAAATGGGACGGATAGCCGCGCATTAGGTACGGTAGCTGACTTATTTGGAAAACGTTCACTAACTTATTACAGACTCTGTAACAATTAGTTTTCTAAACTCCGGAACAATAAATCCAGACTCCTCAGCGTCATTTTTCAGGTGCCAACTGATTGTGGTGTAGTAAAACTAGAACTAAAAAAAACTGTTCAGCTGTAACACCCTTTCGATGCCATCTGCCATGCAAAGCGAAGGAGGCGCGAGAGCTGAGATACTGCGTGGTTGCCTAGACCTGGAGAGGGAAAGTTGAGATAAAGATGTCGGGTTCGAACCATGGACCTTCCGATTAGTAAATTCGCACTCTAACCATTGGGTCATTCCATCCTCAGACCACGCTGGGTCAGACAGAAAAGCCTTTTATGCTGCTGAAGACTCTAACATGTGATTTCCAGACAGCTCATGTACTGGTAAAAAGAAAGGGGGCCATCTAGATGCTATGTAGTCGTGCTTTGCTACTACTGCTGCATTCGTTTTAATTCAACGATATTCTTTGCTGCCGCCATAAACAAACCACCAAACTCCATTCTCGACATTGATCAGGCTATTAGCCTAGCGCTTTGGGGCGAGATGGACCAATCGGTTAGAGCGCGAATTTACTGACCGGAAGGTCCGTAGTTCGAACCCGACCTATGCCTCTTGACTTCCCCTGTCTAGGCTTGGGCAACCTGGCAGCATCTCAACCCTCGTGCAACCCTTGGGGTGGCATGGCAGTTAGGCACCAAAAGGGTGCTACAGCTGAACGATTTTTTTAAATATATTTTTAGCATAGCGTTTGGGTTTGTGGTTACAATCTGACTGTCATACATCATGATAAAAGGTGATTTCATCATAATGTTCCTCTATAAGCAAACTGAAGTGCCTTGAATTGATGATACACTTCTTTACCTCGCTTAAAATACGGTTTTACAACCACGGTATTTTGCACTGGATAAATGTCCTCACTTCTAGACATGGGATTGTGGGTTAAAATCTTTGCTAGGTGGTCATTTGCCACTTTGCTTCCGTTATGTCTTCTATACTGAAACATCAAGCCAGGATAATAAATCCGTTCATCTTGCCACAAACGTTGACAAACTAAAATGCTTGGTCCCAGAAACTAAGTGAGAAACGAATCAAACAAATTTCGTTACCTCAGAGTGAAAGATGAAGAGTTCACAGGAATATAAGCCCCTTACTTGTTGCGGAACAAAGCCGTCTTTCAAACGGAGCTGCATAAAAAGCGGCCAGATCTTTGCAGTCGTACTGGAACCCAACAGATATTTGTTAATAACCTTGTAGTTTAGTCAAGCTACACCAAGCTGTGAAATTAGTAGAGCAAATTTGTACGCAAAGCTCAGTTTATCCACAAATATTGTCTTGCACATCGCTTCAATGGGAACCAAATTGACCTTCCCTGGCACAATAATGACATCCTATAAGGAAAAGCTGTGATTAAATCTGACAAAAACCTTACATGGTACTTCATAAACGGCAGTGAAGCATCGGTATTGGCCACTGATATCATGCTGTCGATGATGATGAACGACAAATTGGCAGCCCGTGCATTTTGGGACCAGTAGCGAATCTGTTTACATGCAACACTTCCATTCTAATCGTTGAGTGCACACCCCACTCCCAGTAAAACGCAGCTTATTTTCGAAAATATAGCCAGAGAAACCCACTCTTCGGCTAAAATCAGCTTCAGCCCAAATATCGTGTGACAAATTGCACTTGAGCTGTTTCAACGTTTTTCTAGAGGTGGATTATTGCTGCCTAGCACAAGTTTGTTCAAACCCAATAAATATAAAGAGAAATCACTCCGGGTTTGAAAATTACAGATCAATATTTTTGTGATTGATAGTCACCACGAATTTGTGGCCACTGTTTTGACCACATAGCTTTTATCTGACAAACTCTCTAATTGCATCTAGATTGGCTGTTAGCTGGTAATTTTTCAAAAGGCCCACGCGTAATTTATCTGAATTCTTCAAGGGCTTTTCGTAATGTGAATGAGCGGGTTTGAAAATGAAGGCCCTCCTCTGATGGTAGCTGCAATTCTCTCATATCAGTGAACGAAGAAATGTCATACACGTTGAAACTGAATGCCATTAGCCAACCCTTTACTCCAAAGAGTCCCACGGGCTATTTTGGTAGAACCACGCTTCTGTCTTTGCTTCATAAATGATGTTATACAACAGATAACTCTCCCTAAATTGGTTTCGGATGGAACCAAACTGCGACGTTTTGTCGTATATCATTAAAAAGCGTCTTCCTTCAAACCCGATTTAATCGAACCTTTATCATTTTGGCACACTAAACCATTTTGGTCCCACTCTGCTTCTCATCTTGTACCAAGATTAACATGCGAAAATGGCTTTGGACTGTTGGTACAAGAAGATATGAACTGTTTGGTACATTCAAAATGATTGCTTCTAGCTCACAACGGATATATGTCTGTAAATGATAAAGAGCGTCCTGAAGGACTTGTTCCAGTACCTTGAATAGGTTTGGAGGTTTGGGCTGGTGACACCAATATGTTGAAACAAACCTAAATCAGCCAAAATGTTGATTCTTCGAATTTGCATGATTGGTACCAATTTGAGCGCACTGTAAGTTATCCAGGCCATGTTTCTCTTAACTTATTACGCTCATGTCGTGACAAGTTTATTTTATTTTTCTTGCGACATATCTAATAATTCAACTCCAAACTGATGGTTTTGTTTTTCGTCGAATAAATAAATTGCAACTGCGATTGCTTGCTTATGAAAGTCATCCATTTTTTTGTGAAGACGTTTTTTCCAAAAAACGTTGCCAACTGTATCTTCTTTGATGTGAAGTTTGTTGATAATCATTTTTATTTATTTAGTCATTTATTGCTAGCTTTGTTATCGATACTCTTATGTCGGGTGCTGTAATTTGAGCTACCAACTAATAAGCTGAGTTTTAAACAGCCTACTATCGTCGCCTTGAGTTATCCACCGGCCCACACAGAAAAGCAGTTTGGTGCCTGTGAACCGTAAACGCTACACACCCACAATTAGCACCCTGCACAGAAGTCTGAATTTGAAGAAGCATTACATTAGACCACGCCGGGTGAATAAATCATTGTAACAACCTCATGTTTTTTTAATGCAGCAAGGTTGACAAAAAACCGGCTAAGTCGGCACTTTAACATTGCGCTTCCTGTTTAAAATCCAAAAATACATTTTACTCCAGTATAGCGCGTTGTATATCGGCATTACAACGACTTTTCCAGAGCTTATAAGATCAAGATGGTTCTTCAAACGAAGAAAAACAAGGAAAGTTAACAAAATTTTATGATCCTAGAGTGTATCCGACGCCTGTTAGGAGTGACGGAAGGTCCGAAATCGCTACATGCTGAATGCAACATCCAATCGGTCTGCGATTATTCTAACTGGCAGATTCAATTACCATAGACCTGATTCACCAAACTGTGAAGTGGATAACGACTCCATAACAGCAGCAATGGGCAAATCAAAACCGTGCCAGTTGTGAAAAAGATGGGACAAATATTGGGGAACATGTAAGCTAATTGGCAGAAATTGACGCATGTTCTTGTGAATCAGATGGCTGAATGGATAACGAACGCCGTCTGTAATGTTTTAGGATGCCCTAAAAAGCTAATATGTGTACCTATATGGAGAAAATAAAACATAGAGTGACGCTTTTCTGCTGGGGTTCAATAGCTGAGATCCGTTAGTCCTGGAAAAGCTTTGCATAGCAAAAATATTACAACTGTACTTTTTAAAAGATAGCTACTATAAGGAAGATTACAAATAGTCTTTATCCAGAGACCATCCGACATCTAATTCTGTCCGGTTAGAAGGAAACTTATCATGATATAATCTGCTCTAGGCCGGGCAAACTACATCTATAAATACCGCTTTGTATTGGTAAGTACCTATTTTTCAAATTTTCAAAAGCTCGATAAATTAAAGTCATACAAACGTGAATAACACCAACGTCTAACAATCGTGCTTCTCTGCCGTAAACTTCAAATCGGTACAGTGTGAAAGCAGGCTAATCATTGAGCCTGCTTACATCGGAGCGCCAACATTAAAAGCAGCCGGACAGGTCGGGTGTCAAGGCCTAAGAATTGATTTTTGGGCACCTTAGGCTGCCGACGCTGGTTAGTGCGCAAACTGTGCGGCTAAGGCTGACACAAGAAAAAGTGGGTCGTCATCTATAACGGAAAATACGTGAATGCGAAAAAAGAGTGATGTCACGGGTAGTCTGTTTTTTGCCCGCGTTGTATCAAGTAATGCAACACATACGATAGCCGATATGGCAAAAAGGTCACCTGTAACTGCAATTTATGGCGGTGCGTGGTCCTCAATACTGGCATGACATTTACACCTAGACGAAGGGATGATTAGAGTATTCGTGCAAAACCTATGGCTCAAAATCCTGAACGCCAGCTATCGGCCATCTTCAAGAAACACCAGTGTAATCGCTTTCTTAAGGTACAAGTCGCAATCTTTGTTACAAACCCCAACGTGCCAAGCCAGGAGACTGTGCTGGTATACCCTATATACATTCGTCAAAATGATATAAAGGGTTGGAAGCGTCATGCAGATCCCCAACAGTGTAGTCCGCTGGGTTACTGAGGCACATAAACCAACAAGAAACGGTAAGGTGCTGTCTATTACTGATAGGCAAGCCAACGTTTACAGCAGCAACCAAATATACACAACAGAATCGTGTCTATAAAATTTATGATCTGTGAGGTAATGAAGAGTGTGACGAAACAGTCCGTTTCCTGAAACCAATAACATAATAATTTCGGCGGATTGACAAATTGGGTTTCTTTGGGGTAAATTAGGCTCAACCAATGTGTTAACTGCCAAAGTGTTTTAAGTGTATCGCACATATGTGTAATTTGCCATTTATGTTGTGAACTTGGACTTCAGAAATTTTACTTATAAACTCAGTCATCCGAATCTGTCGATGAGTCTGTTTTTTTTCAGAACCTATGGCAAAGGTAGAAACCCGCTGAGGGCTCTTCTAGATGGCGTTGTGTGCAAGTGAAGGTCAGTTAAAGTGCATCCGAAAGTTCACACAATAACAATGTGACCCCTTAAGGAGCTGTTCTTTAACCAGATCGTTTCTTTCTTCTAGCCACCATAACACATCGTCCTCATTTTCGTATCGTATGCAGATTGCTTGGAGCTTTAGAAGCTAGTGACGTCCAATGAGAGGGCAGACAGGATGTAACATGCCTTATACTAACTGCACGCTAAACACTCTTCATCAGTGACGATAAGTTCCGTGTCAACCTGGCCGACATTGCTCAAGAAGTCCCATGCTTTATGGGATTACATTAATCGTGGAGTAGAGGCTAAACACAACCTGAACGGAATGGTTATTACAAATATGGAGAGAGCGGCCAGTTTATAAATGGTATGGTCTAGCGGCAGTCATTTTATTACTTGACCCGTACCATATTATTGCCTGGGTAGCATCCAATTTATTCACCGATAAAGCGAGTGGTCCTCTTATTGGCGTATATCCGGTATCGGAGGATAAAGTTGTTCTGGACTTCCAAAACGTCTAATTCGCATCCAGTGACGAGAATTTCCAAAGGGTGGAAAGGCCCTTCAAGCAAAGTCATGTTTGCAAGACGAGAGGTAACAGGTTAAGCATTTAACCGGCAAAAGACAGACGGAACCGTTTCCTCTTAATTCAGCCACATCCAGAGCTCCCCAAAGTATCCTTAATCCTTTCAGACGTGCAGCGAAGGGCACTCTGATCTATACTCCCGTCTGACTGACTGGCTGACTGAAAGACTCACTGGCCAACTGACTACATGTCCATCTGTGTAAGTGACTAAGTGACTAATGAACTAAATTTCTTAGTTACTGACTGGCCCAGTCAAACTTCCGCACATAGTGCAATGAGATTAACTACCTATTCTCATTCAGTGCCGTAATTTTCCTTGTTCACCCTTTATTTTCTCTTCCGAAAGTCATCATTGCGGTTGTTATTCATTCTGTTCAATTCACACTATAACTCAACGGGATATCAGAATCTATATGGCGAGTCCGATTTATTTTACGAAAGCCAAGCCCAAGTTTGAACTGCAACCTTTACATTTTTGGGCCATCTAAATTTTATGCTTCTCGCTTTTCAATGAAGCAAAATGTTTCCAATAGTTACCAGGCAGTGGTTCTTGTACTATTTCGAACCATCAACTACGTCACATGTGTCACTATTTATCGATAATTTGGATGTAAAAATTATTCATTCATGTGGATGAATTCAAACAAGCAACCAGCATGAAAAAATTATGATACTGTGACAGACTTACTGGAACTTTGTATGAAAGGCTGAAATATTTTGTGTACGGCGGAACAATATTCACGCGAGTGGTGGACCTTGCTACATTTATCAACATAAGCGTCGTTCTCATCAAGGATGGCATTTTGACCGTAGGCTTTATTTGAAAAAATACCTGCGCTGGTTCCACGTGGATGAACGCGTTCTTCCCAATTTTAGAGAATATATCTTGAAAATAAATCCATGACTTATACCAGACTCACTCGTGTCAACCAAATGGTTTTTATGAACGTATGCCTCCGTTGGCTCGACCAACTGGAGCTGTCGAATAATACTGCTATTCTCGATGCGGACTATTTCACCAGACAACATGTTGCTACCCTACTCGTGTGGCCTTTGAAAAAGTTCAAACTGTGTTGCTGGAAGAAAGCGAAAATATACCTCATTAAAACGATTATTGGGACCATTTTTGTAACTCACAGATTGAGGGCAATATTGATGGGATAAGAGGTGCCATAGAGGTGCGCCAATGGGTAATGGTAGGCACCTACCTTCTTCTCCCTGAGCTCCGATCACTGAAGCAACTGTCTATTGGTTTTATAGGTGGTCAGTATTCGCACAATGATATTAAATCTTGGAGAACGACTGCGTGTTCCTGACGGAACAACTGAAACAGGCAGTTCAGTTAGGAGCACGAATCCAAACTTTGAGACCCATCTAGGCATTCCAGGGTTTTATAGGTGCTAGCAAAGTATTCCATCGAACTTTTCCGGCGATGGGTATAATTGGGTAGGGTTTATTGGACAATGAAATTGTGTGAGCTGCATAAACATTGATGTAGATTGGAATGATTTTAGCGCGAGCACATACACATTAAAATACAACATTTTGGCGGAAAAGGTTTCATTCTGTTTGCCAAGGTTTTGCGGATAAGTACCATGTCCGGCCAATGGGCCGGAACGGCAGTTAGCAGAAGGCGGAAGGTGCGTGCAAACTCGGGAAGGCCACAAGAATTGGATCGGTTGATATCACTACTACTCGTATTTATATAGGCAGATTTGTACAAGTAGGTGTTGTTTTCCGGGGGAGGGCTGGCACCCAACCTTCAGTAATCGAGGCGGCCATCTTCGTCGTGGTTGGATTTCACCACCCCCCCATCTAGACATCCAACACGTTTTCTTGTGGNTGAAGTGATCATGTGCATGCAAAATGTGAATTCCTTATTGCTTTCCGAATACAAGCTTAGTTCATGTCATCCGGCTTTATCCGACCACATGCTCTTTGTGCTTATTTTTCTTCGTTCCCGCAACCACAGTGATTCCTCGCGCAGTAAGCATGTCCCTTTGGTTGTTCTCCACTCCCTGTTTTGCTGTTGCTGGCCGCGTTCAGGTTGTAACAACCCGATCGCGCCTTAGTCGGTATGTTCTCTACAAGTTGTGAAATAATCCTATTACATATATGCGAGATCCCTAACCCTACACTGCAAGCACACAAGTCTACTGCCCAAAGGTGGATCCAGCGAAGGATTTTCCCTTGAATCCCGTAAGACTCGAGTTTGTGGAGCAGCGGGACGTGTGGGACCCTATCAAATGCTTTTGACACTGTACTGGTACTGTCCTGGTTAACTAGTGCATGATCTCATATACGTTTGAATTTCTTATCCATACCATTGCTCTTCCTGCTTATACCGGTTTGCACAAGACCTCTTATACATTAATATCATATGTTATCCAACCCAACCCCTGCTTGACCGCCATAAATCCACCCCTATCCTGCCCCGTTTATTCACTCGTTGTCACCAACCTGATTGTGGTAAACGTCAGTTGTTTTTTCTCTATTAATGCACATTTTCCCTTCTGATGGCTTTACTGATTTCATCCAATTCCCTCGCTTCCCCAAGCGTCGACTTTTGGCAGTTTCGTGTTTGGAAGATGTTTTGGGCGGTTATCTGCTCCACCTAGCCCGTGATCTCCATCCGTAGATATCCCCAGTCGGAAATGCTATCTTACGTTGTGTTGTTTCGACCTCTGCGGAGTTGCTTGTTCAACCCGAAAAAAATCATGTTGCTTAAAGAATAGCACATCCCACCTAATGGTCTTGTGTATGACGTCCGTTAAGGGGTTGTCCAAAAATTGAAGTCCGCCAAACCAGTGATTAGGAGCAAAATCTTCACCCAATCGCAGCCGCCTCCAGGACGCTTTCGTTCGGATCTGTTGAATCACTCGTCTGGATTCAACCATGCCGCTGAAACTTTAGCATGCTGTCCACAAATCCAGTAATTCTATCCACAGTTCACGTTCCGGATTGCATTGACGCACTCTTCCAAGAAACTTTTACAACCAAATCCACTATATCAGCGACATCAATAAGTCTCTAGAGTTTCAATGCTCCCCATGATTCTGAGATTCCTGCTACCATTTATTCGGATGGCTAATCCCACCCTCCATTATCCCCACCTCCGTTTTTCGTGACCACGCCCATAAGCCCAACAGTCGAAGGCTACGGTGCATCAGCGGTGGTTTTGTGTTTCAGTTCAAAATGACCGGCTGGATTTCGCCAACTCTGCTGTTTCGCCAGATCCGCTATTATGGTTCCTCATTTTCCGAAAGTTGAATTTTTCTTAGCGTGTGCCAGGCACCATGCTACTTGCTTTGCCCTCTCTCGTTTTGTTTTTCCGGCCACTTCTAAAGCCTAACGTCTACTTAGGATAATGCTGACTGTCCTACTGACAGTGTCTCATTTCCAGGCAATCCCATGTACCCGCGGTAACAATATGATCATGCCTGACGATATGCTGAATACCTGTTGGACATAGACATTATTAGTATTACATGGCTCGAAACGTTCCGGTCACTGAGTCAGACAGCCAGTGGTCAATACCTTGATTGCTCCATTTCTCCTGAATCCCGCAGGATTGGAGAACAATCCCTCGTCGTATTAGCCAGTACATTGTGTGGTGTAACACTCGGCCAAATTTCCAGGGTAGCCTCAAATAAAGCTGTGTTCAGGGAAGATTCCAGCAAAAGTTTGATTTTCCTCTTTGTCAAGGGTCAGATAAGAATCCAGGATCAAGTTTTCGGAATAGCGGCAGTCCCATCCCAATACAAATGGTCAAATCCCTCATGCGGGCAGTTCGATTTCCTACCCGTAACATCCTTATTTTTCTCCCGAGGCCGTTGATCTCGGATGTAGATGGTCCTATCTGTACAAAGTCCTCTGCATACAGCAACCGTCTTCTTTTACAACCTAAACGGAGAAGTCTAAAGAGGCTTGCAATCTTGTCTTCTCACGCGGATTCCTGGCTATTTAACGTGGTAGGGTGGTGTTGAATTGGAATTCGCTGGCTGCCTTCAAATGGCTCAAATAAGGGACAGTAATGAACACTTATATATCAAGTGCGCTCGACTGTGTAGACGAAGTGGGCTCACCGTATATTGTAGTGGAGTTAAGCTCTAATATGAAGAAACCTCCATGGGATGAATTGTACGTGAGT